ACAGACTCGTTGTGCGAGACAATTTATTTTCGTGAAAATTTTTTCCCAAAATTTTACACTTTTTAGGAATTTTTTTTTATATGTAATTACCAATTGCTTAATGGTGCCAGGCAATCATCTGACCCATAGGTGGCACCCATCTCAAGCCAGAGGACGAGAGGACTCTAGCCGCCACGCATATAAAGGATTTATAGTGAAAAACTTTGTTTTTACGGGTAAAATTTTTCAGGGTGCTGATTCCAAATCTGATCTCAGATTTGCTCTATCACATCTCATTTTTATGCTATCGGCATACCCCATTTTCATTGATTTTACCCGAAATTAACTCCGTCACTTATGATTGCAAGTTGTTGCGAGTCGGTGACTGCTTTAGTGTTAAAACATGGTGCTGTATTTTTAGGATAGTGTGTTTATAATATAATTTTATGTAGATATCCACATTTATTTAATATTTTTCTTCTACAGTCTTTATTGAAAATGTAATATTTGATATCTCAAAAACCTGATGTGATGGACAAAAACTGATGCCAGATTTGGACTCAGCACCCCAAAATTACCTTAAACCCGTTGGAATACCTTATGCCAGAAAAAATTGTGTTGACCAGTGTTATTTAATGTTTACAGCACACGATGTCAATGTCGTATTTGACGAGACAACTTTGGTTTCGAATTCATCGGCGTTGAACGTAACGCATCCTCATCATATCACATCCGCTTAGGACTCCCTGACATTATTTTCCTTCCAGTTTCCAACCACAGAATCCAATTGAAAAGTCCCTCTCGTTAAATTACAAATCGGCGAACCACGCCGATGTCCCGGTCTATATTGTTAGACTGATGGCCTTAATATAAGTTGTGGTTGTTGTTGTTGTTGTTTGACTTGCATCCCACTGGGATTTTTGCACAGAGCGTTGGTGTACGGTGATTTTTCTGCAATATTTTGCTGTCTTTTCTTGGATTTTCTGTTTGCACTTAGTCACATATTCACTTTAAGATGTTTTCTTGTTTATGTTTTTGTTTTTTGCGGTTGCACCCGATTCAAGAGCCGAATGGCTCACAGGGCTATACATAATAAATGAACTTGAACTCAATATATTCCCAATATTCAAATATGCTCAATGTCCCCTCCAATATATTGATATAAAATAGAATTCTGTTTATATGATTGTGGTTATGGTTGTACTTTATTAATCCCTAATCGCTGCCATTACATACAATGAAACAAGAAAAGGTGTAAAAAAAAGTAATACAATACACTATTAGACACTTGTAAAAAATAAATAAAAAGTCCATCTACATCATTAGACCTCATTTGCCAGTACCTAAATATAATAATAGGGGTTTTCCCTTTCTTTTCTGGCAACAAAACTTAAATCTTTTTTTACAAGGATTCATGTCTGCATTAACCACAAAAATGTTATTATTAATGCTATTATTTAAAAAAATCCATCCTACGTGTTAGTGAATTTTTTTAAAATATTGTAGGCAGGAAATGACAGGAAAATAGTTTTCAAATTTAGATTTTATTTTTTTCTCTGGGGGCGGGGGGGGCCCAGATCCCCTGGAAGATTTGGGCCCCCCAATGTTGACTGCATGGCTACGGCCTTGGTATCCACATCGTTGACATGCTGCCCCCCGAATGTTGTCCCCCTCGATGTGTCTAGGACCTGGGGGGGGGGGGGGGGGTGATGGTGTAGATCTTTCTCTCTCATTCCCTGTGATCCCAAGTCGAGACTCCTCTTCTATTCCGATCTATGGCAGGTGGTAACCCGAGACTGCCACTCCCCACTACTCTCGATATGAGAACGATCTCCCACCAGAGTCTCTTAAAATATATTATTTTTACACGTTTCCGCTTATTAGTTTCACTTTGGTTCATTTAGTAGATGTATTTATTTTTACTGTATTTGTAATGTGATTATATTTTCATGCCGAGTGCTGCTGTATACAGCGCTTTGCATGGAGTTCTTCTTGGTTCTTTCGGTAAAGTCGCGTAGAAGGGAAATAAAAAAATAAAAAAAAATGATACATAATAAAATATTTTATTTTATTTTGTTTCATTTATTTTTCTTTTTTTAAAATAAAATAATAAAATATTTTATTTTATTTTATTATTTCCTTTCTACGTGACTTTACCCAAAGAACCAAGAAGATGAATCCCTGCAGTCACGAAAGCTTTAAATCGAAAAATACATGGAGTTGTTATTGTTATTATTATTGCCTTGGGGGGCAGGTGGGAACTCATTTGAGGCCGAGTCGACCTAAAGGGGGGGGGGGGGGGAAGGGGTAACCGTGGATACTGAAGTGACGTGTGAGGTCTGTGTTGGGGTTGGCCTTGAACGGGAGTCGAACTCGGAGGGGTGGTGGTCTGATTCGTGTCGCAGTCGCTCCCAACAACAACATCAACAACAACAACACACACGCAGGGCGCTAACCGGCGTGGTGAAGTATGGTCAAAACAGACGAGGGATGGTGAACGTCTTGGGATGATGTGTCCATCCCATACTCTTTGGTTTTTTTCGGTAAAGTCGCGTAGGTAAAAATAAATAAATGCAAAAAAAATTATACGGTGATACTGTGTGTACTGTAGTACTGTATAGACTGTTGTACTGTACATACTGCAGTGCTGTGTACACTAGTACTGTACATACTGTATTGAACGTGCTGTAGTGCTGTATATACTGTAGTACTATATACTGTAGTACTGTACATACTGTGATACTGTTGCACTGTATGTACTGTATAAAGTGATACTGTCTGTACTGTGGGACTGTATGCACTGTATATACTGTAGCACTTATACACTGTAGTACGGTATATACTGTGGTACTGTATATACAGTATATACTGTATGTACTGTATACACTATACGTGTGGAGGCGTACGGCCACATCTGCGTATGTTTGCGTCATACACCCACGAGCATACTGAGCCGGTGTTTGGGCCTCTCCTAGGTCGACTCGACCTCAAATGTGTTGTAGCACGGTGCGGTGTGTAGACATTGCCACTGGGGAGACAAAGGCGGCCGGGCGTGGTGCTGGCCACCCACCCCCTCGTGTGCCGTGCCGGCCTTAACAGGTGCTCGCTAACAGCACTTGCCCCTACAGTCTGTTAAGGCTACACGGGGGATCTTTGTATACATGTGTGTGTATGAGTACACTGGTTTGTGTGTGGTATGTGTCCTTAATACGCGTGTATGTACAACTATAACATTTCTATATGCGCGTGTGTATGTAAAGACATGAGTTTTTTTTTAATACGCGTGTTTATATGATTACATTTGCACAGTATTGTATGTGCGTATGTCAACCCAGAGCGCGAGTGGACTAGTGGCCACGATAATGTTCGAGGATAGGAGCGTGGCCAGGTGATGTAATAGGACCGTGTAGTCAACCTGTAGGGCCGAGTGATCTAGGGCCAGCGAGAAGGATCGGCATATAGGGGCGAGGACGCACCGTGTAGTATGAAGGAAATACGCAGAGAAACTCGGCGCTGCTGCAGTGGCGTCTTCGCCATTTTTGATGTAAGCACGTGGCTCCCTTGAACAGGACCCTGCGGGGTTGGCTGGTAGGAACGAATAACCAAAGAATATAGACATAATGTATTATTACACTTGTTTAGCCAGGAAAGCCCCACTGAGTCAAAAGGTTTTTGTAGGGTCCTGCCAAGTGTTTGCTGTAGGGGGCGATGTTGCTACACGAACGGACGGACGGACAAACGGACGGACGATATAATCTATTGGTGTCTGGTCCACTTCGTTCCTACCAGTATAAAGAATTCCGTAACCGTACAAGTGCGTCGAAGTCGTCTTTACACGAGTAACGAATTGGCATGGTTACGTGACAAACCTTACTAATTGGTGGTGGTGGGTTTAACGACACATTTACGTGATCTAACCCAACAAAACCTGTATTCATCTTCTTGGTTCTTTCGGTAAAGTCACGTAGAATGGAAATAATAAAATAAACATTAATGATAATATTTTAGACGTGAACAAAAATGAATCAAACGGATTATTGATTTCATAATTTTTTTGCTGGGGGGGGGATTTGCATAAATCTTCAAAAAGAGTTGAACTATGAGAAGCCCCCGAGTTTGCATGGGGGCAGGCGTATGGCAGTATCACCCTCCCTTGGCCTCTTACGGCCGCTTCTGCAGGGTCTACTTAAGCACAGATTTGCATTTTCGGCACATGATGACGTGGAGAGGGGGGGGCAATTTTGAAAGAAAATAAACGGGAGCGTCAAACACCGATGTGGTCCTAAAACCATATCCAGGGTTTAGCTTCGGACTTAATACAAATTTACGATCACCGTGACCTCGGCCCCTTGGCCCATGAGTCTTGCGCACTCAGAACATTGTAAATGCACAACAGGAATTGCTACTCTCCGTGGGACTAGCCGACCTGAAGAACCATGAGTTTTCTCATTATTTAAGACCTTGGCGTTCGCGTCAAGCTGCATTTCTTGCGCGGGGAAGTTCGTAAACTGGCAACCATATTCCGCTTTGGATATACAGCCCTGTGTCATTCACAGTTTCTTATAACTTTGCTCAATTAAAGAAACGTAGAAACTATTATCTATTGCACCATCAATCGTGCTGTGTTTTGCTCGGCTTTTTGGGCTTTTTAGGCCTGTACCTGGCACTGGTAATGTCATTTTTTATGACAAACTGTGCTTTATCATCACCGATTGACAAACAGCACCGGACACGTAAACATAGACGAATCGTAAACGGTGACTACACTACACACTCCTCCAGCTGAACAGTGCCTGTGCACTGGGTTAGTGGCTGCATTATGAGGCTTGCTAAACTTATCAACCCGCCTTACCCAACTCTCTGTCGGTCCGTTTTATTAGCATCCGTGAATCCGCCTAAAGTCACTGAGACCGTGGCTGAACTCATCCCAGTTGATAAGCACAGCCTGCAGGTACAGCCCGTTTGTCAGCCCAATGTTGGATAAAGGGTCCCTCCTTGTGCCGTGAGGGTCAGCTGACCATTCTTCACAACGATGGGGAAGTAGACAGCAGCATTGGGCGTTGATGCAAATCGCCTCGACAATGCCTACGATTCACGCACGGTGGTTACTCACTTCTTGGCTCGCGATGTCTGACAGGATCGGGTACATTCCAAGTGGGGTTTTTCCCCCCTTCGGCACGTGTAGGTGATACCAACGCATTTCACCTTTAAATTTATTTCGGGCTTACTGAGTGGTAGTTGCTATAGCAATCAATAGGGCCATTTAAAATGTGCCTCCAGGTGTCATGACCCATCGTCCCTAGCCAAGCGTCCTGGATAGCCGTATGTGAACTAGTGGACATGTGTGAAAAAGAGCTACCTCGCTCATGGGATTCCTCCAGGATAAATAAATATTCTGATGTATGTATGTAGAACTTCTTTCGCACCGTACGTAACCAACCGCCCTAATATGAGGTGCGGGGTGGGGGGACAACAATCTGAACACAAAAATCGGTTCTAAAGAAATTCTTTTAAATCTGGTGTACCAGGTGTAACTTATTTCCATTATTTAAAACAACATCCTAACACCTGAACCTGTTCTCTTATGTGACGTCACCGCACAAGAGTGACCATGCAGATCGATGTACAACAAAGTCAAGACGGGCATTGCGCCTGATCCGTGTGTGTATTCTCTCTTAGTGTGCAACTAGGAGGCCGATATTTCACTGAACGGGACGTCTTGGCTGACGGGATGGAAGGTGGCCTCGTCTATCACCATGCGTCCTCGCGGAAAGGTGAGCCGTGTGAGCAGCTTGCGACCTCATCGAAACAGCCGTCACGCACTTTAGCAAAGTAGGCGTAATTCTCCCACTTGTGCTTTTGAGTAGTAAGATGCTATCTCCCCATATACGTACGTTGCGTTGGCAACTGCAAGTTGTCTCGGGTAGGTTTGCGACGGTGATAATTGTGAGTGAGTAACGCGGTGGCGTACCCACCGCGATGTGTCCCGCTGTCGCACTGCGTGGGCGTAGTTGTACATTCTGTGTCGCCAAACCTCATCGTTGCATTCTTGTTGGGGGAGATTGTTTTCGCTTGAACGATTGACGCGGCACTTTATGGGAACGCGTCTGCTGGCGCGCTAAACGAGGTCTTGCCGTATTTCCCGCACCTCCGATGGGCACGGTTGGCTACGTGCAGTGCGAAAGTAGTTCTATGTACGCACATTACATACTTGGTGACAAAAAATAACAATAGCTTTTACCCTTTATGGCAGTGAAACAGGAGATTTTAAGATGTTCAAACACCAAATAAATGCTATTTGCAAGGCATCAAGTCTGCGTTAACTACACATTGTGGTAAAACATGCAAACAAATATGCTCTGATTCTAGATTTGAAGTTTTCGTGACTGCACGGAGGTAAAAACAAAATTAATTAAAATGAAAACAACTAAATTAAATCAGTTATTTTTATTTATTTGTTTTTTACCTACGTGACTTTACCGAAAAAAACAAAGTACAGTAAACACTGTCTTTGAACCTGATTGGCCTAAACCAGAGGCATTATTTTTAAATCCTTTATATTAAGTTCGCTTGCTTGCTTACGACCATGCAAATCTTTCGGTCGTTTTTTAACCCACTTCCCGTGATCCAATCGAGCTGACATTTTCCACACAGACTAGTTGTGCGTGACAATTAATGTTCGTGAAATTTTTTTTCCAAAATTTTACACTTTTTAGGACAAATATTATTTTTAATCACCAATTGCTTAATGGTGCAATGCAATCATCTGACCCATAGGTGGCAGCCATCTCAAGCCAGAGGACGAGAGGACTATAGCCGCATATAAAGGATTTATAGTGAAAAACTTTGTTTTTACGGGTTATACTTGTTTATGGCCTAGTCTCACAGTGTCAGCACAGAGAACGCCAAAAGGGGTAAAACCTCTTCTTCTTTTTTTCATCATTTTTTGATGCAGTAACTCTTCTACTTATAAACGAGTTAGGTTCCAGAGGTCCCGTTCGTAAGTCCATTTGTTCGTAAGTCTACCTTTACTCCCGTTAATTCCAAACACGCTGCACGGCATGTGCACTAAACACGGAGAATGGCTTTAAAAGTTGTATAATCGCCAGTAGATGTAGATGCCGCCGCTTCGTCACATTCTGCAGATGTAGATGCCACCACCGTCATCTATTGCGCGGCGGTTGAACTTGCGACTCTTGGACAGAACGGGCACCTGGACATACGGACCAGTGGTTTGTTGATATCGCTGAAAGTTCGTTAGTACTATAAAATCACGACGTTTCGGAGGCAACACAAGTCTCCGTCATCAGGTGGGACCGTCACAGCCAGATGCAGCAAATCTGGCTGTGACGGTCCCACCTGATGACGGAGACTTGTGTTGCCTCCGAAACGTCGTGATTTTATTGTTTTATTTTTATTAATTTTTATTTCATTTTTTGCCTACGTGACTTTACCGAAAGAACTAAGAGTATCAATCCTTGCAGTCACGAAAGCTTCAAATCTAGAATTCGTAAGTACTCGCAAAAAAAGGTCACCATAGATTACGTACGTACTTGTTGCCGACCGTGACGGTTCTGCTGGCGATGAGTCCGCTGAGGTTTTGGGTGTTTTTAAATCCTTTATATTAAGTTCGCTTGCTTGCTTAGGACCGAGCAAATCTTTCGGTCGTTTTTTAACCCACTTCCCGTGATCCAATCAAGCTGACATTTTCCACACCGACTCGTTGTGCGTGACAATTAATGTTTGTGAAATTTTCCTAAATTTTACACTTTTTAGGACAAAAATATATTTAATTACCAATTGCTTAATGGTGCAATGCAATCATCTGACCCATAGGTGACAACCATCTCAAGCCAGAGGACGAGAGGACTCTAGCCGCCACGCATATAAAGGATTTATAGTGAAAAACTTTGTTTTTACGGGTTATACTTATTGTTCTTTTAACTTTTACTTTTTTACTACCCCACGCGGTCTCCTGCCCCAGTGGTGCCGCTGAAAAGCATCGCAGTGAAGGTGTTGGTGCGGGGCTTCGTGGCCGACGTGAAGGCCTCCATGGTCTACCGCAACGACGAAGCGTTCCCCATCGAGCCTTCCTTCTTCTTCCCTCTTGACGACGACTCGGCCGTGCACGCGTTCCGCGCACGCATCGCCGACAGAGAGATGAGCGCGGCGCTGAAGGAAAAAATGGAGGTGCGTTCTCGCGCACGCGCGCGCGCGCGTGTGTGTGTAGGGAGCGGTGGTGTCAGTCGACCTGTGGCATCTGGGTCTGCCCCGTGACCTCCTGCCAGCGGGCGTTCGACACTTCACGTGGCCTCAAGGTGCACATGGCCTGGCACAAGCGTCGTGGTGACGTCACCATCACTTAGTGGTGAATGGCGGTTGTTGTTGGTGTAGCGGTTAGCGCGCTGCGCTACGAACCCAGCAACCCCCAGTTCGATTCGCGCCCACGGCCAACACCAGTGACGGTTATTTGAACCGGTCCTGGGCCTCCCCTAGGTGGACTCCGCCTCAAATGCTTACCTGGTGCGGTGTATAAAAACATCGTCACTGCGGAGACAAAGGCGGCCGGGCGTGACGCTGGCCACCTACCCCCTCGTGTGCCGTGCCGGCCTTCATAGGTGCTCGCTAACAGCACTTGCCCAACTGTGTTTGGGCTACACGGGGGATCTGCGTCATTTGCGTGCGTGCGCTCGCTAACAGCGCTTGCCACGACAGTCCCCTAAGGCTACGTACGTGGGGAGGGATCCTTTGTATTTGTGTGCGTGTGTGCTCGCGCGAGTGACGCCATGGGGAGTGGTAGGGTGCGGTTAGTGCACAGCGCAACGAACCCTGCGAACCGAATTGTATTCCCGCTTGGCGAATATCCAAACTGGACTTTACTTCTCTCCTAGGTTGACTTGAAATAAGCACCTGGCATGGCGTGTAACTATCTGCACTGGGGAGACAAAGGCTGCCGGGCAGCTGGCCACACCATGCCCTCGTATGCTATGCCGGTTTGAATAAGCGCTTCGCTAACAGTCTGTTAAAAAGCTGCATGGGGGGACCTTTGAATTATACCACCAAAATCTAACCCCCTTCCTCGTTCAAATAATTTTCAATTACGCACTCATTAACCCCACTTCACACATAACACGTAGCACGAATTTCGAGGTTACTCTTCAACATGTACATCGTCAAGCTACTGGTGTGGTTTCGTACACGTCCGGGGTGTGGTCTTCTTCACACACAAAGGCGCAAAAACTCCAAGCCGATGGTAATGCCTGTAAGCATGCATGCATGTATTACTTACTTACTCACTCCTCTTCGCTGCCTGTGGAGCATGAGGCTGCAACAAGACTGCAGGTTTCTCTGCTCCACCCGAAGACAGGCCCATGGTCTTTAGTTGAGTCTATGTATGTGTGTGTGTTGAACTTCTTTGATGCTGTGCATAGAAAATCCTGCTAAACCGGAGGTGCGGGGGGTGGGGGGGACGGACAACAAAACTTAAACATGAAAAAGCAGTTCTGAAGAAATGAGTTTTTAATCTGCGAGCACAGACTTGCAGATGTATTCTCATCGTAACGTAATGTATTTTAAGAGAATTACCAATGGCGCAACAACGCGTGTGTGTGAACGTAATGGCGGAGATGAGGCGAGTGAAATAGACGAGAGGAAGCAATAGGGGGGCGGACCTGCGATGCGTGAATTTGGTGAAAGCAAAATTGGATTGAATGAATGGGGTTAATGAGTGACAGCCATGCGATGGGAATATGAAGAGGAAACAGGAACCCCCTGGAACTCTATCGGGCAGCAAGTCCCACTGGGTGAAGACCCCGGGGCCGGCTCAGGACCACGCTGGCAGGACCACGTCGCTCGGCTGGCCTGGGAACGCCTGGGAATTACCCAGCAAGGGTAGAGTCTTTGTATAGTAGTGTATAGTGTAGTGTATAGAGTAGTAGTGTAAAGCAATGTATAGTAATGTATAGCGTACTTGGTGTATAGTAATGTAAAGTGTAGTAGTGTAGTGTATAGTAATGTAAAGTGTAGTAGTGTAAAGCAATGTATAGTAATGCATAGCGTACTTGGTGTATAGTAATGTAAAGTGTAGTAGTGTAGTGTATAGTAATGTAAAGTGTAGTAGTGTAAAGCAATGTATAGTAATGTATAGCGTACTTGGTGTATAGTAATGTAAAGTGTAGTAGTGTAGTGTATAGTAATGTAAAGTGTAGTAGTGTAAAGCAATGTATAGTAATGTATAGCGTACTTGGTGTATAGTAATGTAAAGTGTAGTAGTGTAGTGTATAGTAATGTAAAGTGTAGTAGTGTAAAGCAATGTATAGTAATGTATAGTGTACTTGGTGTATAGTAATGTAAAGTGTAGTAGTGTAGTGTATAGTAATGTAAAGTTAAGTAGTGTAAAGCAATGTATAGTAATGTATAGCGTACATGGTGTATAGTAATGTAAAGTGTAGTAGTGTGTAGTAATGCTAGAGTCTGTCACCAGGGAAAGGGAGGTCTGGACCTCCCTCAGTTTAACACGTAGGCTTTCGCGACCAATATTATTCATAATCAACGTTTTTGGGTTTAGATCGCGTTATTTATAAATGTGTCGTAATCCTCCACCACCCGACACGGCCAATCAGTAAAAAAGTGTCAACGCACCGGTGGGCTAAAGTAGTGAACTATTTGTCTTTTTGTCAATGTGACACTTTTTTACTGATTGGCCGTGTCGGGTGGTGGAGGGTTACGACACATTTATAAATAACGCGATCTAAACCCATAAACGTTGATTATGACTGGACCACCCTACTCGACATACTGCCGCCACAACCCTCACCAGAACGCGGCGGTGGTGCTGGTACTGGTGATGAGTCGTGGGCTGAGCTGGGGGGAACAGCGAGGTGAGTTGTTAAGGCGAGGAGCAGGAACGCCCCAAACGAGCGAAGGTGCGAGTGACCGCTTTATTTCAGGCCGAAGATGAATACGATGACGCCATCGCCATGGGGCGCCGGGCGTTCAGGCTGTCGAAGGAGTGCGGGGACGTCTTCCACTGCATGCTGGGTAACCTCGGCGCCGGCGAAGAGGCGGAGCTGTCGCTGGAGTTTGTCTCGGAGCTCGGAGTGGAGGCCGACGGCGCCGTTCGCTTCTGTCTGCCCACCGTGCTCAACCCTCGCTACTCGCTGCAGGGTACCCGCACGTTTTAGTCGTCACCCGACGGAGCATCGTCGCCCGCCCTAAGTCGCATCCACCGCACGCGGACCATGGCGGCAAGATAGCGGGCACGTGACGACGCGTGAATGGACGATTTAGAAAAACTATCCGGCAGTTGTAAGGCTGTGGGTTATACAGCACGGACCGTACAATGAGTTACGACGCAACGCGCCCAGATGCTCCGCGCCAGGATGATATGCTCGACTGCTCCTGGAGCGGTTAGCTGGCGTGAACTACGTGAATGTGAAATTTTAGTTTGTGTGTCGCTTTGCGTCCACGTCAGCAGCCGCACGGAAGTAGGAGAGCGCACGCACAGCTAGTCACCATTCACAGAGAGGGCTGGAGCTGGCTGCTGATCTTTACGGCATTCCGACACCGTGATGTCGTACAACAATGAAGCCGGAGATGGCACTGCAGCGTTGCAACTGAACGTCTTTAGATTTCGATTTAAAGCTTTCGTGACTGCAGGGATTCACCTTCTTGGTTCTTTCGGTAAAGTCACGTAGAAGGGAAATAATAAAATAAAGCATTATTTTATTATATTATTTTATTATATTTTATTTTTATTATTTTATTATTTCCCTTCTACGTGACTTTACCGAAAGAACCAAGAAGAAGAACGTCTTTATACCGTATTTTTTTCCCCCAATTTACTAAAACTTCAAACTTGTGTCACACAGCCCGAGACGAGACTGCCTAGGCACGTGTCTACAAAGTTTTAACGGAGTGCCCTTCAATTTATACTCTCTGGTTCTTTCGGTAAAGTCACGTAGATGGAGAACACGACATTTCGGTTGCAACACAAGCGGCCGTCTTCTTGTGTTGCGACCGAAACTTCGTGTTTTCTTTCATAATTTTTTCTACCCACGTGACTTTAACGAAAGAACCAGAGAGTATTGATTCCTGCAGTCACGAAAGCTTCAAATCAAGATTGCCCTTTAATTTGTCACTTTGCAGCCGGAGGTTGATGGATCACGTGACGATTGTGAAGCTCCCAAAGGCCTTTGCACTTTAAAGTGACCGGGAAGTGGCAAGTGCCGGAAACAAATTATGAACGCATCTGCGCATACTTTTTTACGCGTTTTCCCCTCTTGTTCGTCGATTTTCTCTCGGCGCGCTCCCTTCTTTGGCCTCCCACGTGCAAAACAAACCGTTCGGGGGGGATAAAAGACCTGAAACCTTAAAGGATTCTCGCAGGATAAAAATTTACCCGTAAAAACAAAGTTTTTCACTATAAATCCTTTATATGCGTGGCGGCTAGAGTCCTCTCGTCCTCTGGCTTGAGATGGCTGCCACCTATGGGTCAGATGATTGCCTGCCACCATTAAGCAATTGGTAATTAAATATAAAAAAAATTTCCTATAAAGTGTAAAGTTATGGAAAAAAATTTTCACGAAAATAAATTGTCACGCACAACGAGTCTGTGTGCAAAATGTCAGCTCGATTGGATCACGGGAAGTGGGTTAAAAAACTACCGAAAGATTTGCACGGTCGTAAGCGCGCAAGCAAGCAAGCAAGTGAACTTAATATAAAGGATTTTAAAAATGCAGGTTGGGCTTGCAATCTGGAGGCCCGCTGGGTCGAGCCGCCCCTTTTCGGCACGGCACTCGAAGCAACGTCGCAAGCTTCTTTAATTGCCACGCCTGTTATCCTCCAAGCAATGCAGAGTGGGGGGTACACCGCAGTCGATGGGCGGGACGCGTGGTGGGGTTACCCCCCCACCCCCGCCACCTCTTCCATCGTGTCTGGCTGTCGTGGGAGAGAGGAAGGCCTCCAGGGCTCCCTCTAGTGGGACGGCCCTTCTGCCAGCAGTGCCGTAAACAAGCAGTTGCAGAGGCTGCACCTTTATATTATGAGGGCGATACGTTTCGTGTTTTTCGTCGGGACACTCTTGGGAGTGAGTCTGTCGTTGGTATGTTGACCTCTCGCCTGGTTTGAAGCGAAACAAAACTCGAAGGCTTCCTTGAACCGTTTAACACTTACAGTAAAACCTTGGATTGCGAGCATAATTCGTTCTGGAAACGTGTTTATAATCCAAAGCACTCGTACATCAGTTGTGATCACGTGACGCTCGGCAGACAAAGCGTGTACACGTACTGCTCGTATTGCAAGACCTCGCTCGTTTATCAAATTAATATTTATTTAAATTTTTTGCTCGTCTTGCAAAACACTCGCAGACCAAGTTACTCGCAATCTAAGGTTTTACTGTATTCGGCTTTCGCGGACCAATATCCATTTATAATAGAGGTTTTTGTTTAAGACTGAAACAGGATGATCTCTCCACAGCTCTGGTTGTCTCGCCTGATGACGCTGCTCGTTGTTGTAATTACCGGCGAAATGTCACAGTGGTGGGTTTACTCTCCCAACACGCAACCGGTGTGCGAATCGGCACGTTTTCGTTCACGTGGCGGCGGGTTTAACGACAGGCACCGACATTTACGCGATCTAACCCAAACCAACGCCGGTCGTGGAGACTTGTTGAAACAGTCACTCGATGTCGCACCCTCTGCTTTGTTGCCCCTAGGCATGGCGGACCGAGTATCGTACCTGGCGCCGTCCCAGGACGTGCCCTACACCCTGTCGTTCACGCTCACGGCCGAGAACCCCGGGGGGATCCGCGACGTCTCCTCTCCCAGCGGCCTCCTGGGGCCTGCTGCGTTCGCCGAGTCTGACAGAGCCTCGGCCCAGGTGCGTCCCACCGCTTTCAACGGTTACCGCCCCACCCTCCCGCCCCCCGTTGGGTTATCTTTGTTTTGGCTTGCTGGTAAAACGCAATATTGTACGTTCTCCTATAGCGCTGTGGTAGTTGCTTTCCCGACGAGCGCCGCGTTATTGAAAATTCGCGTTACAATAAGTAATATGGGTTGAACCACAGTCCGCAAAAACACGCGAGATGCGAACGCAGACCGAACAAAGACTGCGCGGGGCGTGGGTAGCGTCTGGAAGCATCCATCAGCATCCCGCCTCATGCGATGATGATGCTATGCCGAGGCAGCCGTTCCCACCGTTTTCAATCCAACTCTTGCGACGTATAATAATAGGGTTTCTCCCCTTTTTTCTGGCCTGTTACTCCCAACAGGTGTCCCTCGAAGGAGACTTCAAGTTTGATCAGGACATCGAGGTGCTGATTTACTATGAGCAGAAGCATCAACCGTTTGCGCTCATCGAGCCTGGACTCCCAGCGACGGGTGAGTGCGCGCGTGGGTCGGGGGAATGCGTTGAGGGTGCGGGTGGCAGTACAGGAAAAGCTCCGATGTCCGGCACTTTTTGCCATCCGGAATGCTTTTATTAACCGGCATCTGTCGTGGGCGGCAAGACTGTAGAGATTTTATTCTCGATTTTAAGTTTCCGTGACTGCAAGAATCCATACTCTTTGGTTCTTTCGGTAAAGTCATGTAGGTGAAAAAAATAAAAAATAACAATAAAATAAAACTAATGACGCCGTGAGTTTGTAGAGATCTTCCTTCGCGTATCCGGGGAATTAATCCGATAGCCGTCCGGCGTCTTGCTGTGCACTTCTCGTTTATCTGTTGTTGTTTCTTGGTTCTTTTGGTAAAGTCACGTACAAGGGAAATAATAAAAAAATAAAAATTCAACATAATAACATCATAAAATTTCGATTTAAAGCTTTCGTGACTGCAGGGATTCATCTTATTGGTTCTTTTGGTAAAGTCACGTAGAAGGGAAATAATAAAAAAATAAAAATTCAACATAATAACATCATAAAATTTCGATTTAAAGCTTTCGTGACTGCAGGGATTCATCTTATTGGTTCTTTTGGTAAAGTCACGTAGAAGGGAAATAATTAAATAATAAAACATAAATAATAAAATAATTGCATTTCGATTTAAAGCTTTCGTGACTGCAGGGATTCATCTTATTGGTTCTTTTGGTAAAGTCACGTAGAAGGGAAATAATAAAAAAATAAAAATTCAACATAATAACATCATAAAATTTCGATTTAAAGCTTTCGTGACTGCAGGGATTCATCTTATTGGTTCTTTTGGTAAAGTCACGTAGAAGGGAAATAATAAAAAAATAAAAATTCAACATAATAACATCATAAAATTTCGATTTAAAGCTTTCGTGACTGCAGGGATTCATCTTATTGGTTCTTTTGGTAAAGTCACGTAGAAGGGAAATAATTAAATAATAAAACATAAATAATAAAATAATTGCATTTCGATTTAAAGCTTTCGTGACTGCAGGGATTCATCTTATTGGTTCTTTTGGTAAAGTCACGTAGAAGGGAAATAATAAAAAAATAAAAATTCAACATAATAACATCATAAAATTTCGATTTAAAGCTTTCGTGACTGCAGGGATTCATCTTATTGGTTCTTTTGGTAAAGTCACGTAGAAGGGAAATAATAAAAAAATAAAAATTCAACATAATAACATCATAAAATTTCGATTTAAAGCTTTCGTGACTGCAGGGATTCATCTTATTGGTTCTTTTGGTAAAGTCACGTAGAAGGGAAATAATTAAATAATAAAAACAGAAATAATAAAATAATTGCATTTCGATTTAAAGTTTTCGTGACTGCAGGGATTCATCTTCTTGGTTCTTTTGGTAAAGTCACGTAGAAGGGAAATAATTAAATAATAAAACAGAAATAATAAAATAATTGCATTTCGATTTAAAGTTTTCGTGACTGCAGGGATTCATCTTCTTGGTTCTTTTGGTAAAGTCACGTAGAAGGGAAATAATTAAATAATAAAACAGAAATAATAAAATAATTGCATTTCGATTTAAAGCTTTCGTGACTGCAGGGATTCATCTTATTGGTTCTTTTGGTAAAGTCACGTAGAAGGGAAATAATTAAATAATAAAAACAGAAATAATAAAATAATTGCATTTCGATTTAAAGTTTTCGTGACTGCAGGGATTCATCTTCTTGGTTCTTTTGGTAAAGTCACGTAGAAGGGAAATAATAAAATAATAAAAATAAAACATAATAACATAATAAAATTTCGATTTAAAGCTTTCGTGACTGCAGGGATTCATCTTCTTGGTTCTTTCGGTAAAGTCACGTAGAATGGAAATAATCAAATAATAAAAATTAAACATAACATAATTAAATTTCGATTTAAAGCTTTCGTGACTGCAGGGATTCATCTTCTTGGTTCTTTCGATAAAGTCACGTAGAATGGAAATAATAAAATAATAAAAATAAAACATAATAACATAATAAAATTTCGATTTAAAGCTTTCGTGACTGCAGGGATTCATCTTCTTGGTTCTTTCGGTAAAGTCACGTAGAAGGGAAATAATAAAATAATAAAAATAAACCATAATAACATAATTAAATTTCGATTTAAAGCTTTCGTGACTGCAGGGATTCATCTTCTTGGTTCTTTCGGTAAAGTCACGTAGAATGGAAATAATCAAATAATAAAAATTAAACATAACATAATTAAATTTCGATTTAAAGCTTTCGTGACTGCAGGGATTCATCTTCTTGGTTCTTTCGATAAAGTCACGTAGAAGGGAAATAATAAAATAATAAAAATAAAACATAATAACATAATAAAATTTCGATTTAAAGCTTTCGTGACTGCAGGGATTCATCTTCTTGGTTCTTTCGGTAAAGTCACGTAGAAGGGAAATAATAAAATAATAAAAATAAACCATAATAACATAATTAAATTTCGATTTAAAGCTTTCGTGACTGCAGGGATTCATCTTCTTGGTTCTTTCGGTAAAGTCACGTAGAATGGAAATAATCAAATAATAAAAATTAAACATAACATAATTAAATTTCGATTTAAAGCTTTCGTGACTGCAGGGATTCATCTTCTTGGTTCTTTCGATAAAGTCACGTAGAATGGAAATAATAAAATAATAAAAATAAAACATAATAAAATTATTCTCACAACGTTTCGGCCACAACGCAAGCAGCCGTCCTCAGGTGAAGACCAGGCCTGTCGGAAAGACAGCGTCATTCAGACGCTGTCTTTCCGACAGGCCTGTTCACCTGAGGATGACAGCTTGCGTTGTGGCCGAAACGTCGTGAGAATTATTTTATTTATGTTTTATTTTTATTATTTTATTATTTCTCTTCTACGTGACTTTACCGAAAGAACCAGGAAGATGAATCCCTGCAGTCACGAAAGCTTTAAGTCGAAATTTATCCGTTGTTGTTTACGGGAGCTTTGGGACGCTGCCTGAATGGTGGTGCTAACGGCAGTCTCGATTGTCAACGTCCGCCATCCGCGATCGTGCTGTGCTTTGTTGTGCTGTCGCGCGACCTTGTGATGCCGCTCCTGATGCCGCTGCTTCATGATTTCGCCGCTGTCTCTGTAGTGAGTTCTCAGTGAGTCAGACGACGTAGTTGAGGCACACTCTTTTATTTAACCAAAGGCGGTAACAACACTTGAAGGGGTAACGGTCCCTTCACCCATACTCAATGGGAAACACCCCTAGCACTATCCCCTGACTGTCCTATTCCCAGTCCTCCGCTATGAGTGCTAGGGGAGGCTATCTGATCCGGCCCTGGTCAAGCACGGATCCCGGCACCCAGCTAACCAGGCCGTGCTCTTACAAGAGCAGCGGTCCTGGCGCTCTTGGGACCGCGCCACTGGCTTGCCCTGCTCGGCCCTGACGAGGACAGCGAGCCAGGGGAGTCCCAGGGCCTTTTCTGCCGGTCTTCAGTCTTCACTGGTGAAGCTTCTAACACACTGGCCCCGAGCCCTCTGGCTCCCCGCCTTTTATAGGAATCCTCTCCGAGGGGTGGGGGCTATGGGGGATCACAGCGCCCCCCATGGCCCCCCCAGGGTTAACTGATGCGGACGTGGATGTAGACACCCGTGTGTGGGTGCAGACACCCACGTGTTTCTGTCCGCCTTTCTCCCCGTAATAACCCCTACATCTCTTTGTCAGAGGTCTCATTCCTGGCGGACACCGTGGCTATGCTGAACTTCTACCCGGGTGAAATGGAGGAGATGGAAGTGCCAACCGCCGAACATGGGGAGTTCATTTTCATCATAGACTGCTCCGGCAGTATGAACAACAACCCCATCATGAATGCTAAGGTACCACGAACAAGCCTCATCAACATGGTCAGGTCCACAAGTGTGTGTATACTACCTCGCCTGGTATGCAGGAGGTCGTGGGTGATGATTGCTTGTGTTCCGATATCACTTTCCCTTCTACGTGACTTTACCGAAAGAACCAATAATATAACTCCAGATTTGAAGCTTTCGTGACTGCAAGGATTCATAAAGTCACGTGAGCACGTTTGGCGATGCGCGGTGCGACAGGAGTTGGGCGTACGTGTAACGCTCGGAGAACGGCGCAAATGTGCGATGTGATGTGAACGCCGAGTGGCTGAGTTTGTGTTTTGCCGTTGTGTTTGCAGGAAACGCTCATTCTGCTCTTAAAGAGTCTGCCCCTCGGCTGCCTGTTCAACATCTACAGCTTCGGCAGCCGATTTAGATCCCTTTACACGTAAGTTCCGTGACCCCCCCCCCCCCACCCGCCTTCAAGGAGATTATTTAGGACAGGGGTGGTAAACCTTTTTTTTGCCAAGGACCATTTGGATATCTATAACATCATTCGTGGGCCATACGAAATTATCAACTTAAAAATTAGCCTGTTATATTTGGTCAAACATTTAATTAACTCGCCCCTAATGCGGTGGCTGTAACTGCTTCTCTTTGGTGAGGCGTGTGATGTTAGCTGGTACTGATGATGTTGGTGCTACTCGCAACTGCTTTTCCAGTTTTTGCTCCTAGATTTATTGAATTTTGAGTCTCGCATGCGGTTGCGTTGGCAGGGCCACACCAAATGATTTCACGGGCCTCATACGGCCCGCGAGCCGGACGTTCCCCACCCCTGATTGAGGACAATGCGATTGTTAGTATGCTGGACGATGAATCCGGAGGTCGCCGGTTTGATTTCATCTCCTGGTCGCAGTAGTTTGAAGCAAGAGGGGGCACGTCTTTAAAAAAATCTTTCCCCCACAACTGCCTCTGTCCACGCGGCTGTTTAAGTTTAACACGTAGTCCAAAATACGTGAGGGAGGGCCTTCTACCAACAGTTGCATGAGCAAGCAATTTCGAGGTTTGCACCTTTATCTCGAGGAAAAGAAAACTCCAGACGTTCTCAATACACTGTTGGGTTCAGGATACCCCATTGCCGTGTTGGTCATGTTTTGTTTTTATGACCGTACTTCACCATTCTTCCCTGGTTCGGGTTGGGGAAGAGTGTCTGGACTGGTTCCGATATCGCTTGCCACTGATATTGGCCGTCGCCGGCGATCGAACTCGGGTCGCCCTGTTTATAGCCCTGCACGCCAGCCCCCAGCTGCACCAACCTTAACACCTTTTGTTCCAATAATAAGGGTTTTTTCCCCCTTTTTTCTGGCAACAAAACTGAAATATTTTTACAAGGAATCATGTGTGCATTAACCACAATATTTGTGGTCAAAACGCAAACAAAAAACACACTCTGATAATAAATGCATTGTCCTTGAAACTGATTGGTCCACACCAGAGACAGCTTTCTATTGAGCCTCGTCTCAATGGGTGCTAGACCAGAGGACGCCAAAAGGTGTACACAGCTCAAAGACAACGCACTATCAGAAAGTGAATGGAACGGCGCAGAGGGCGCGACCTAAACTTCCGCACCAAACGTTTCCCAGCGAGAGCATGCCCTACGACCAGCAGACAATGGACACCGCCCTAAAGCACGTGTGCGGCATGGACGCCAACATGGGCGGCACGAACATCATGGGCCCTCTAGTGGACATCTGCAAGCAGCCCTGCAAGCCACAGCACCCCCGCAAGGTACGCGTGAGAGCTTGGGGGGGGGGGGAGGGGTTTGCCACCTGTCCTGGTTTTCCCGGGTGGAATCGCGGGCGCCGTGGTGGCGAGATGTTAACTGCCTCGTCTGGTATACAGGAGGTCGTGGGTTTCGATCCCGACCCTGATGCCTGCTTTATATTTGGAGTTTGCATGTCTCTCTCCACGTGGTCGCGTGGATTTTTCTACGGGTCCTTCGGTTTTTCCCCCTCGACATTTAGAATCGCCGTGCTTTTAGAATGTTTGGCTGCGACACATATCCACATGATAAGCCATTACGTTGAGCATTATTTGTGGCCAGGTAGCTTCTGAAAAACAACTATGTAGCTGAGTGGAACTTACCTGGTAAAATAAAATATATTTTACTGGTAGGAACCCACTGGTTCCACCAGCCCACAGGGGATTATTGTGTCCGTCTGTCCGTTGTGCAGGGAGGGGCTGGGTGGGGAGGGGCTGGGTGGGAAGGGGCTGGGTGGGGAGGGGTGGGGCTAGGTGGGGAGGGGTGGGGCTGGGTGGGGAGGGGCTGGTCACCCCGTGGTGCCCTTATAAAACTCAACGTTTAACCTACTCACGCCGGCTTGTGCCCTCCCTCACAGTCGGCCATATTTGCGGAATACACCACGCCGCCGTTGACCCTGCCCATTGACCGAGCAACCCAACGTTCTTACCAGCTCCCTCCGCAGGAATGTGTTTGTTTAGTTTAAATGTGAGAATTTCCAAATCCCTGAGGACCCAGTAGCCTCCACCGGATTGGTGATATCTCCTGGCCCTGCAGCCTTTGTCAACGTCACGATCATCATCATCATCGTCAGCCATGGTCAATTCATTCAGTGACGTCTTCCATTCTTGCGCGTGCCATTCCGTCATTATTTTTAAATCCTTTATATTAAGTTCACTTGCTTGCGTGCTTGCGTGCTTGCTTGCTTGCTTACGACCGTGCAAATCTTTCGGTCGTTTTTTAACCCACTTCCCGTGATCCAATCGAGCTGACATTTTCCACACAGACTCGTTGTGCGTGACAATTAATTTGCGTGAAATTTTTTTCCCAAAATTTTACACTTTTTAGGAAAAAATAAAATTATATTTAATTACCAATTGCTTAATGGTGCCAGGCAATCATCTGACCCATAGGTGGCAGCCATCTCAGGCCAGAGGACGAGAGGACTCTAGCCGCCACGCATATAAAGGATTTATAGTGAAAAACTTTGTTTTTACGGGTTAATTTTTTAGCCATATGCCGTCATCCCTTATTCCGATGTGTCCTGCCCCAAGGCTGCCTGCTTGTATTTTAAAAGCTTGAATAGTGGAATTACCCTGCATATGTTCTGTAATCCACGTACTCTTATTTCCCTCGCTCTCCGTGCTTTGTTCCCTTTTCAGGTTTTGTTCAATCAAGTTTTCGTGTTTCGTGCACTCACGCACGCTGCTCCTGCATATGGGCAGTCGATGGAGATGATCATTTTTGTCTAGTTTGGTGGTGGTGGTGCTGCAGGTGTTAAGATAATTTTTATAATCGCAAAATGTTTACAGGACAGGCATAACACTCACAAACTTATTTGGATGGCTTTAAAAAAAAAACGACTTGTCCAGCGGTTAGTTTGACACGTAAGGTTTCGCGACCGATATTATTAATAATAAAGGCTTTTTGGGTTAGATCGCATAAGTATAAATGTGTCATTCTTGGTTCTTTCAGTACGTGACTTTACCGAAAGAACCAAGAATATGAATCCCTGCAGTCACGAACGCTTTAAATCGAAATATAAATGTATCGTTGACCCACCACCACCCCACACAGCCGATTCTGGAAACATCTCCCGATGATGCTAGATGTGATTACCAGCGAAACTTCGTACTCAAATTGTAAGTTGTGAGTTTATTCTCTAACACACCGGTTTGCCGAACTAGTAACTTAATTGGCACATTTTGTTTCCGTGACAAACCCTCGCAGGTTGGCTGTGTCGGCTGGTGGCGGGTTTATACTTACGCGATCTAAGCCCAAAAAACCTTCATTATGAATTGTCCAGGGGTTACACTCGTTCCCCCTTTTACTGGCAAACAAACCCCCCACCACCACCTTTGATTCATGAACGAGATTTTTCCATCCGGCGATGGACTCTACGTCGCAGTTTGTCCACCGCGGCCGTGAACGCGAAGCCGCCGCGAACACAAGTCGTGACTTTCCCTTGCCTTGTGCAATTGCAGCTGTTCTTGCTGACGGACGGCATGGTCGACAACACGCAGGGCGTTATCCAGACGGTGAAACATCACTCCATGGACCACAGGTGATCGACCGCGCGTCATCCAATGATGTGATGTTCCCGAAATAAATTCCAGGCGGTCTCTACGGTTTTACGACGATCCATGTTTACGTGTAATGGCCACCACCATGGATCGATTTACAATACAGAAAATTGTATTTTGGACGGGTCTTCCCGACACGTGTGTGTGTTGCATGTATGTACGTACGTACATATAACTTCTTTCGCACCGTACGTAGCCAGCCGTGCTAATCGGTGGTGCGAAGGAAGGACAACAAAATTAAACACGACTCCCGAACGCATCTGAGCAGAGTCGGTCTCGTTGCCCGACGTGATTGGCGTGCGCACTGTTGTTATTATAAAAAAAAATGGTGTGGATTTGCACTTATTGGACCCCGCTAAATACGGCCGATAAAAGGGAGAAAAAAAAACGCATTAGCAACGGATGTTTCTCCCGTTTCCACTGTCGATGGGAGAATAGGGGGTCCCATTCTACGACGAAACGGTTTATGACGACGGGGTTTACCGGGAACGCGTCTGGGCCTAGGAATAATAGTATAATAATAGTGTTGTGTCCGAAATAAAGGCTCTTGGTAACCGAAGAAAACACGCATGTCGGAACGTCATTACGCTTGCAAGCTCTCCTCTAGGACGGGTGCGGCAGCTATGAAGAAAAATATTCGATGTAGGCAAAAGAGCGCGGTGAATAAAAAACTAAGCAAGAAAAACAATGAAATTCAGGGTGCTTCAAAAAAATGTTAACATTTATATGGGACTATCGTTTTTTATTGAAAAAGAACGGATAATACACTGAAACATGATAACAAATGTTTTGTTAATAGCTTCAAAAAGTCAGTCACCACTTGTTCGCCATCATTGTCAACGCGTGGCCTGGAATCTTCTCCAGGTGGTCTCCAAAGCCCGGAGAAACATGTCTTGTGGTGTTGTTACAAATTCTCAGAAGTGTAAAAAAATATATGTAAGCACCCTGTATAATATGGCAAGAAAGACTCATTAACAATAGGTACTCTATTTACACTTGTGAGGGGGTGTTGTAGTGCAACAGAGGGGTTAGGGCGAGCAAAATCCATTGTGCTCTGTCCTCTGTCACGCCTGTGTCAGCCCACACTGAGATTCGCGGTGAGTGTGCTGAGATGTGCGGTGAGTGTGCTGAGATGTGCGGTGAGTGTGCTCATTGAGTGTGCTGCCCAATGTGGTCACGTGATCGATGGGTGGGGGAGCGTGGTGGTGGTGTCAGCGATTTAGCGCCACGCTGCGCTAGCAACCCGGCGGCCCGGGTTCGATTCCCGCCGACGGTCGACACCGGTGACGATTGTCTGAACCGGTCTTGGGCCTCCCCTAGGTCGACTCTGCCTCAAATGAGTACCTGGTGAGGTGTGTAATCGTCGCCACTAGGGAGGCAAAAGCGGCCAGGCGTGGTGTTGGCCACCGACCCCCTCGTGTGCCGTGCCAGCCTTCATAGGTGCTACTCGCTAACAGCACTTGGCCAAACAGTCTGTTAAGGCTTTTCGGGAGATCTTTGTGCTTGTTCTTGATGGTTTCAATGTTGTGGATGTCACCGATCGTGACGTTGATGTAGTTGACACTGCCGCTGTTGTATATGATGATGAATGCGAACATGGGCATGTTTTTTTAACAGTGACTTTCATGTAATTGATGTTTCGATTCAAAGCTTTCGTGACTGCAGGGATTCATCATCTTGGTTCTTTCGGTAAAGTCACATAAATGGGAAATAATAAAATAAAATAATAAATAAAATAAAACATAATAAAATAATTTTCACGACGTTTCGGCCACAACGCAAGCAGCCGTCCTCAGGTGAAGAACAGGTCTGTCGGAAAGACAGTGTCTGTCGGAAAGACAGTGTCTGAAACTGTCTTTCCGACAGACCTGTTCTTCACCTGAGGACGGCTGCTTGCGTTGTGGCCGAAACGTCGTGAGAATTATTTTATTATATTTTTTATTTTATTATTTCCCTTCTACGTGACTTTACCGAAAGAACCAAGAAGAAGGGTAATTGATGTTGTTGCTACTGATGACGACGACGACGCTGTCTTCTTGTGCGCAGGTGTTTTGCGTTTGGGATTGGCCAGAGTGTCTCCACTGAGCTCATCAAGCAGGTGGCACACGCTGGAAAGGGCCTCTCGGAGTTTGTCACAAGCTCTGATCGTCTTCAGGCCAAGGTGAGGTACAGAAATCGTGCGCGTGCGTATGTTAAACTTCTTTCGCACCGTACGTAGCCAACCCTGCTAATCGAAGGTGCGGGAAAGGACAATGAACTATGGGTCTCTGTGTGAGTCTGTGGGTCTCTGTGAGTCTGTGGGTCTCTGTGTGAGTCTATGGGTCTCTGTGTGAGTGTATATACGTTGAACTTCAACATACAGGTAGAACCCGTCTTTTCGACCACCCCTGTTAATGACTAATTGCTTAATGACGGGCCTCAATAGAACCCAGTGTGTAGTGTATTGTCGTGTAGTGCCTCTATAGAGCCCAATGTGTAGTGTATAGTAGTGTAGTGTATAGTAGTGTAGTACCTCTATAGAGCCCAATGTGTAGTGTATAGTGTATAGTAGTGTAGTGCCTCTATAGAGCCCAATGTGTAGTGTATAGTAGTGTATAGTGTATTGTAGTGTAGCGCCTCTATAGAGCCCAATGTGTAGTGTATAGAAGTGTATAGTGTATAGTAGTGTAGTGCCTCTATAGAGCCCAATATGTAGTGTATAGTAGTGTAGTGTATAGAAGTGTATAGTGTATTGTAGTGTAGTGCCTCTATAGAGCCCAATGTGTTCGTTTACCGACCATTCCCCTATTCTTGGTTCTTTCGGTAAAGCCACGTAGAAGGGAAATAATAAAATAATACAAATATAAAACAATACAATTCTCACGACGTTTCGACTTCAACACAAGCAATCATCATCAGGTGTGAAATCCACAGCAAGAAAATATGAAATTTTCTGATGATTGCTTGTGTTGCAGTCGGAACGTTGTGAGAATTTTATTGTTTTATATTTTTATTATTTTCCGTTCTATGTGGCTTTACCGAAAGAACCAAGAATATGAATCCCTGCAATCACGAAAGCTTTAAATCAAGACTATTAATGACCGGCTGTTGTAGGTACAGTAAGTAGTCATTAATGCATTGATTAACCATGTTTCTTTTTATACCATGTGTTTTAATGTTGTTACTATCTTTATGTATTATTATCCATTGTTTAAATATTATAAAGTATGTTTTTAGGTGAAAAAGGGTAACTTTCGATGCTATCGGAACGAATTAAACATCTAACATGTGTGATAAAGGTCGTGGAAGCGACTTCTGGAATCCGGGTCTTTATTTGTCTTTCGTTCACAACACTCCTCATATAAATTCCACTCCTGTCTTACTCCTTCACGCTGCTGACAGACAGCGTGAGAGAGAGAGAGACTCGCGCTGCCACGTGGCAGGCCTGGACCCCCGCTCAAGCGTGGCCTCACCCTCCGTTCGTTCCAGATCTGACCGTCTCCACCCCTTTTAATACCCGGGTCACGTGGTACCTTTCCACCAGTCCTGGTTAACCTCCATGGAATCTTCCGGACTCCATCGTACGGTCCCAGGACCACGCCCCTGACTCGTCCCCCCATTGGCTGTGGCTAAAGCCAGCAGAACCAATCATCTACTTGCAGATGTCACCTTCCCATGACGTCAGGGCCACGCCCCTAGACTTGTCCCCATTGGCTATGGGCCAGGACCGGCAGAGCCAATCATCGTAACGAGGTGTGATCAATCAACCACCCGGATATACCCTCACATTACACATGTGTTTCCTATGCTCGGTTAATGACCAAATCACTTGACAACCGGTTTCGTGAAACCAATCACCGTCGTCAAGAGGGGTTCTGCTGTACATGCAAGCAAGCAATTCTCAGCAATTAATTATAACGTAAGTAACTCTAAGCCATTACGCCACGTCATCATGGGACCTCCAGTGCGCCTTTTGGCGTCATCTGGTCGAACGCCATATGAGACTAGGCTCCAAAGAAAGCTGTCTCTGGTGTGGACCAATCAGTTTCAAGGACAGTGCATAAATTATCAGAGTATTGTTTTTTGTTTGCATTTGACTGCAAGTATTGTGGCTAATGTAAGCATGATTCCTTGCAAACGGTGTCAGTTTTGTTGCCAGAAAAAAGGGGAAAAACCCTATTAGTACATTACGCCACGGTTACAAATGGTTTCTTCCTCGGTCCGCAGGTGCTGAGGATGCTCAAGTGCGCAATGCAGCCGTCGCTGAACAACCCCCAGCTGGAATGGACTCTCCCGCCCGGCATCGTTGCCACCGTGGTGCCCCAGCTTCCCGAAAGCATCTTCATAGGAGAGAAGACAATTGTCTACGCGCAGTTCACTGGGACGGTGAGACTCGCGCGTGCGTGCGTGCGTGCGTGCGTGCGTGCGTGCGTGCGTCCAGGGCGGTTCTAATAAAATTAATTCTCATTTATAAAGCGACCTTCAACAATCGTCCTCAGGGCGTTTGCGAACGTCTGTCATTATTTTTTTTGTTCTTGGTTCTTTCGGTAAAGTCACGTAGAATGGAAATAATAAAATAATAAAAATACAACGTAATAAAATAATTCTCACGACGTTTCGGCCACAACGCAAGCAGCCGTCCTCAGGTGGAGAACAGGTCTGAGAACAGGTCTGTCGAGAAGACAGAGACTCTGTTGTGGCCGAAACGTCGTGAGAATTATTTTATAATGTTTTATTTTTATTATTTTATTATTTCCCTTCTACGTGACTTTACCGAAAGAAACAAGAAGATGAGTCCCTGCAGTCACGAAAGCTTTAAATGGAAAAATTCTTTTTTTTGTTTGTCTCGAAATTAATCGCAGCGTCGAAGGGATGGGGAGACTGAAACGAAACCATTAAACTGTTTTTATTTCACCAGGTAAGGCTTGCTAAGCTACATAACAATGTTTTTCACAAGCGACCTGTTCTTTAGCCAGTAGTTACCACAGAGGGAGAGATGATGACTCATCTCTGCTCTTCGGTTTTATTGCGCCTACCCAGGCTTTGCAACTAAACAATTAAATATTTTTTAAAAGTTATTTTAGCAGGTCAGACCCACTGAACTACGTAACCTTTTTCAGAAGCGACCTGGCTATCTAGCACAAATGATAGCTCAACGAAGTGGCTTTTCACGTGGACATCTATAGCAGCCAAATACTCGAAACTCGTGTCGACTCTAAATGTGGAAGGGAAAAACCGGAGGACTCGGAGAAAAATTAACGCGACCACGGGCAGAGAGATTATATGCACACTCCAAATATAGAGGAGTCGGGGTCGGTATTGAACCCACGACCTCCTGCATACCAGATGAGGTAGTTACCATCTCACCACCGTGGCACCCCCCTAGGAAGACGCGCAAGTGTTGTTAGAGAGTACAATGTTCTTTCGCCAGCAGTTACCACAGAGGGAAAGGTAATGTCTGATCTCTGCTATTCATACTCTTAGTTCTTTCGGTAAAGTCACGAAGGTAAAAAATGAAATTAAAATTAATAAAAATAAAATAATAAAATCACGACGTTTCGGAGGCAACACAAGTCTCCGTCATCAGGTGGGACCGTCACAGCCAGATTTGCTGCATCAAATGAGGCCGGGATTCAAGATGCAATTTAAGATGTATTTAAGAGCTTGCATCTTGAATCCCTGCCTCATTTGATGCAGCAAATCTGGCTGTGACGGTCCCACCTGATGACGGAGACTTGTGTTGCCTCCGAAACGTCGTGATTTTATTATTTTATTTTTATTAATTTTCATTTCATTTTTTACCTACATGGTGACTTTACCGAAATAACTAAGAGTATGAATCCTTGCAGTCACGAAAGCTTCAAATCTAGAACTCTGCTATTCAGTTTTATTGCACCTGCCCATGGCTTTCTCACATCTCACATCCCCTCCACGAATTCCGGTCATCCTCGCAGCGGCTTTTGGCTGGCCATCGAACAAAGACGGTGACCGCATCGCGCGCTTTAAGATGCGCTTCTGCGGCCGTCTGGAACGCTCTTTCTTCTGGTGTTAGGAAGCCACTGGAGCTGTGCACCTTGAAATCCAGATTGAAAACGAATTTCTTTAGAACTGCTTTTTGTATTTGGTTTGTTGTCCATTCCACGCGGCACCTCCGGTTTAGCACGGTTGGCTACGTACGGTGCGAAAGAAGGTCAACATTCATTCACACAACGAATATTCCAGCGCAGTTAATATCCATGTTTCAGGTGTATTTGTATATGTGTGTGTGTGTGTGTGTTTCTCAAAGGCGGTAGGGCGTGGTGCTGGCCACCCACCTGCATGCGTACCGTGCTGGCCTTCATAGCTGCTCGCTTAACAGCACTTGCCCCAACAGTCTGTTAAGGCTACACGGGGGGGGGATCTTTGTCTTTCTTTTGTCTCTCTTCACCAATGCTGTTATTTATACGCCACGTTGTACGATGGCGCACCCGCCACGTGACGGTTTAACAGCAAGCTGCGGCGGAATAAGACGACACCACTGCCTGGGTCACGTGACCATCGCCTTACCCCGTGTACGCGTCTGTCTCGTCGTGCAGCTCCCAGCGGATCCGTGGCAGGGCACAGCTGTGCTCAAGTACTCGCTGTGCGGCAAGCCGATTGAGAATCGCATCGTGTTCTCCAGCAAGCCTGCTGACCACAATGCTCGGTACGACGGACGCACAACGACAATCACAATAAAGTTCCCTGTCCCCCCCCCCTCTCCGTGTAGCCTTAACAGACTGTTGAGGCAAGGGCCCATAAACCCAACACTGCCCATAGACTCAACACTGCCCATAGACCCAACACTGCACCATAGACTCAACACTGCCCATAGACTCAACACTGTCCACAGACTCAACACTGCACCATAGACTCAACACTGTCCACAGACTCAACACTGCCCATAGACTCAACACTGTCCACAGACTCAACACTGCCCATAGACTCAACACTGCCCATAGACTCAACACTGCCCGTAGACTCAACACTGTCCACAGACTCAACACTGCCCATAGACTCAACACTGCCCATAGACTCAACACTGCCCATAGACTCAACACTGTCCACAGACTCAACACTGCCCATAGACTCAACACTGCCCATAGACTCAACACTGCCCGTAGACCCAACACTGCCCATAGACTCAACACTGCCCATAGACTCAACACTGCCCGTAGACCCAACACTGCCCATAGACTCAACACTGCACCATACACTCAGCACTGCCCATAGACCCAACACTGCCCATAGACCCAACACTGCCCATAGACCCAACACTGCCCATAGATACAACACTGCCCATAGACCCAACACTGCCCATAGACTCAACACTGACCATAGACCCAACACTGCCCATAGACTCAAGACTGCCCGTAGACCCAACACTATTGTTTGCGAGCAGCACCTACGAAGGCCACCTTTGCCTCCCCAGTGGCGACGTTTCCACACCACCACGCCAGGTGCTCATCTGAGGTCCAGTCGACCTAGGGGAGGCTTCAGGACCGATTGAGTTAATCGTCACTGCTGTTGGTGGACGTGAGCGGGAATCGAACTCTGGTCGCCGGGTTTGTCGCGCAGGGTGCTGACCGCTACACCGCCGCTCCCCTCCTCGCATGCACACATTCACGTGTTCCGCAAGCTCCGGCCACTTCCTTGTCTCTGTTGACAAACTCGGTCATTCTCAACATTCTCAAACCAAGGTTGAAAGTGTTTATCCACTCGCTCTGTCCGAATGGCCTGTCTGTAAGCGGGGGTCACGTTAGCGCTCGTAACTTTGACCCGATGCGAACAAAACTTTAGTTGTGTTGCTATTAGGGACCCGCACCGGACGTAGCCAACCTCGCCACTAATCTGAGGTGGGGTCTTCGGCGGTGTGGCGCCTTCTCATCGGCAGGCTCGTGCTGCACCGGCTGCTGGCCAAGGCGCTCATCCGCCACCTCGTCGGGGACTTGGGTGACGATCCCAGCGCCGCCGGTCCCAGCGACGACGCGAGGCAGAGGTCCGTGGCAGTGAGCCTGCAGGCGGGCGTCGTGTCGCGCTACACCGTGTTCGTGGCCGTCGACACCTCGCCCCAGTCGCCCATCGCTGAGGCCATGCAGGCCCGTCCCGTGCCACGGCCCCATCCTCATGGTGAGCTGGGGTTAGACCCTCGTTGGGTGGTGGGTGGGCGCGTGGTATGAATGGCAGAGGTCGCAATCGGGTACCCGATACCCGTACCCTACCCGATACCCGGCTACCCGTGGCCGGGTACGGGTACCCGTTTGCGAACCTGGTGCGGCCAGGTACGGGTACGGGTAGGCCGTGAGTCACTGGTGAGTCACCGTTTGTCACTCATTTCGGGTAGGGTACGGGTACGGGTAGCGTACGGGTACCCATACCCGGCCGGGTACGGGTACGGGTATCCGTTTGCGACCCTGGTGCGGCCGGGTACGGGTATGCCGTGAGTCACTGGTGAGTGCACCGTTTGTCACTCGTTTCCCAACGTCTTGTCTCTTCTCACAATTCAAGTTTCTAGAATCAACCCACCCGCGCCTGCAACATGGCTTCATCCCAGAGGTCGCAATCGGGTACCCGATACCCGTACCCTACCCGATACCCGGCCGGGTACGTGTATCGGGTACCCGTTTGCGACCCTGGTGCGGCCGGGTACGGATAAGGAATCAAAACCCGTTTGCGACCTCTGATGAATGGTAAATGATGAGTCGCCGTGGGTCGCATAGCTGGCTAGGAGATGTTAACTGCCTCGCCTGGTATGCAGGAGGCCGTGCGTTCGACCTTCCGCCCCTGTCGCCTGCTGTGCATTTGGGGTTTTCACGTCTCTCTCCCCGTGGTCGCGTGGATTTTTTTCCGTCATGGCCCAAACTTTTCAAAGGCGATCAATTCGCATCATGTACATTTTTAAATCTATCAACGAGCAACTTTGCCGCCGTCCTTCCCGACGTGCAGGTCAGTGCTGCGTTCCACCTTGTGCCACACAGGGATAGCTGCCGCCGGCGGGGGTTGGTGGTGGGGGGCGTGGCGCGGTTGGGTTGTGGCTCCACTGCAGCATAGCATGGTGTAAATGCTTACCCCGAGCTCTCATACTCTGATGGTGCATTGTCTTTGAGTTGTGCGCCTTTTGGCGTCATCTGGTCCAACCCATGTGAGACTAGGCTCTAAGGAAAGCCGTCTCGGGTGTGGACCAATCAACTTCAAGGACAGTGCATATATTATCAGAGTTGTGTTTTTTGTTTGCATTACGGCTGCAGGTATTGTGGTCTATGCAAACATGACTCCTTGTAAAAAAGAGGTGTCAGTTTTGTTGCCAGATAGAAGGGTAAAAAAACCAATTATCATGGCATAGTTGTGACATATGGCTTTTTTGAGATGCCGAGCCGATAGAAGCAAGTTGACTGTACATCCAAATCCTTATCCTTTACGTGACACAGATTACACTGGTCAACACACTTTTCTGGCATAAGGTATTCCAATGGTTTTAATGTAATTTTGGGGTGCTGATTCCAAATCTGTCATCAGTTTTTGTCTATCACATCAGGTTTTTGAGATATAAAATATTGCATTTTCAATAAAAACTGCAGAAGAAAAATATTAAATAAATGTGGATATCTACATAAAATTATATTATAAACACACTATCCTAAAAATACAGCACCATATTGTAACACTAAAGCAGTCACTGACTCGCAACAACTTGCAATCATAAGTGCAGAGTTAATTTCGGGTAAGATGAATGAAAATGGGGTATGCCGATAGCATAAAAATGAGATGGGATAGAGCAAATCTGAGATCAGATTTGGAATCGGCACCCTGAAATTAGTCTAAAACAGCTGCAAAAGTCCAGGCCAGAAAAAAATGTTTTTTTTTGTTGACCATTGTTATTAATCACCCTCTCTTCCACCCCTCTCCCCCACCTGTGCATATTTGTTATCTTTTGAAGCCCCCATGGTCTACCACGTTGCCAGGGATGCCGTGCCTGTTGACTTCTCTCACCATCGGCATGGGGCTTGGATGGGCTTTGGAGCTCAGTCCAAGAAAACGTCTCAGCGTAAGTGTTGGAATTTGTAACGTCAGTCCGAGCCCTCATTGTTTATCGATGATGATGTTGTTCGTACGCCAAATTGACACCGATTGCAAGTCGTCAAGTCTGTACTCTTAGTTTTTTCGGTAAAGTCACGTAGGTAAAAAATGAAATGAAAATTAATAAAAAGAAAATAATAAAAATCGCGACGTTTCGGAGGCAACACAAGTCTCCGTCATCAGGTGGGACCGTCACAGCCAGATTTGCTGTATCAAGTGAATCCTTGCAGTCACGAAAGCTTCAAATCTAGAATCATCAAGTCTGCATCAAACACACATCATGCTTATGGTAAAACGTGCAAACGAACATGCTTTCCATCATACAGGTTTTCTGGGTTAGATCGCGTAAATATAAACGTGTCGTTAAACCCGCCGACACAGCCAATTAGTAAGGTTTGTCATGTAAACAAAACATGCCAATTCATTACTAGTGTAGAGAAGCTCCCACGGACGCACTCGGAGACAAAGGTAAGTTAAGGGCTTCTGCCAAGGGTTTATTAAAGACTTCACAAGTAACATAATAAAAATAAAACATAATAAAATAATTCTCACGACGTTTCGGCCACAAGGCAAGCAGCCGTCCTCAGGTGAAGACCAGGTCTGACTTTACCGAAAGAACCAAGAATATGAATCCTGACGATGACACGCCCTGACAAATCGTCGGTACGTTCCACTTTTGACGATGTGGCAAAAGCAGAACGCAAACCTTATCAGTGCCCTACTTTATCACCGACAAATTCAGACCGTATTGGTCACCCCGTGCACCTTATAAATCTCAACGTTGATCCTACAAAGTCCCATCACAAGGGAAAAACACAAACACGTAGACAAAAAAAATATGCGTTTGTCCCCGTATTGAAACGGCTGTACGCCTTATGGACCTGACAACTCAATTTCCCTGCACAAGAGAACCACGGGGTAAGCCGTGTGTGGGCTGGCGGGTGTGAGAAAGTGTCTCTCGACGATGATGCATACATTATCGGAGTTATGTTTGTTGTTTGCATTACGACCGCAGGTATTGTGGTCTATGCAAACATGACTCCTTGTAAAAAAGGTGTCAGTTTTATTGCCAGATAGAAGGGTAAAAAACCAATTATCATATTTTTTACTGGTAAATGAGGTTCCAATGGTGTAAATGCTTACCCCGAGCTCTCATACTCTGATGGTGCATTGTCTTTGAGTTGTGCGCCTTTTGGCGTCATCTGGTCCAACCCCATGTGAGACTAGGCTCTAAGGAAAGCTGTCTCGGGTGTGGACCAATCAACTTCAAGGACAGTGCATACATTATCAGAGTTATGTTTTTTGTTTGCATTACGACCGCAGGTATTGTGGTCTATGCAAACATGACTCCTTGTAAAAAAGGTGTCAGTTTTATTGCCAGATAGAAGGGTAAAAAACCAATTATCATATTTTTTACTGGTAAATGAGGTTCCAATGGTGTAAATGCTTACCCCGAGCTCTCATACTCTGATGGTGCATTGTCTTTGAGTTTTGCGCCTTTTGGCGTCATTTGGTCCAACCCATGTGAGACTAGGCTCTTTGGTCCACACCCGAGACAGCTTTCCTATCAACTTCAAGGACAGTGCATACATTATCAGAGTTATGTTTTTGTTTGCATTATGACTGCAGGTATTGTGGTCTATGCAAACATGACTCCTTGTAAAAAAGGTGTCAGTTTTGTTGCCAGATAGAAGGGTAAAAAAACAATTATATTTTTTACTGGCAAATGATGTTCCAATGACGATGATGAGACACTTTTGCCTTGCAGAGCACCAACTCCAGGCTGCCGAGTCGGGATATGGCTCGGGTGCATCTACCCGCTCTTCGTCGCCAACGCAAGAAATGTCGAGTAAGCACAAAACCTCCAACGTACGGGGGGGGGGGGGGGGGCCTGCGATACCGCTGCAGTGTCCGTTGTCGCGTGCGACGGTCTCTCATCGTGGGTTGCCCTTGGCTTCGTGGTGAAGCGAATTACAAGACTTGTGATAGTCCCAATGTCGGCCATGGCTGGGTGGGGGATATACAGAGGGCATAGCTGGGTGGGTCATACAGAGGGCATGGCTGGGTGGGGTATACAGAGGGCATGGCTGGGTGGGGTATACAGAGGGCATGGCTGGGTGGGTCATACAGAGGGCATGGCTGGGTGGGGTATACAGAGGGCATGGCTGGGTGGGATATACAGAGGGCATGGCTGGGTGGGATATACAGAGGGCATGGCTGGGTGGGATGTACAGAGGGCATTGCTGGGTGGGTCATACAGAGGGCATGGCTGGGTGGATCATACAGAGGGTATGGCTGGGTTTGTCACGATTCGCTGAAATTGGCCACACAGCGGAGCTCATGAGCAGACTATTGGCATTTCTCTGTATATTACGATGAGGGCTTGTGAATTTCTTGACCATGTATATTTGCCGTCTTGTGTTTTCTCAGCTTCCAGTGCGAGGGAATCTCAGCGAAGAAGCCATAGGGTCTTTCAGGCGCAAATCTCCAATATGACCGTGGAAAGTAAGTGACATCCAAAGTTCGTTTTCGCATTCAAAGTCTCTTTGCACGGTGCTGCACACTGTAATCATTATAATAATCAGCCACGATCAATTAAAGTTCGATCCTGATAAGTAAATTGATACTAGATGGGGCCTTTTTTTCCAGTTTCAAAGTATGATGGTGCATTGTGGCCAGGTCGCTTCTGAAAAAAGAGCTATTCAGTAAAACTTAGTGAGGCCTTACCTGGTAAAATAAAAAGTCTTGTTTTTACTTTATGTCAGTGGGCAAAGCGTTTACAATGAGATTCTCATGTTCTTATTCTTAGGTTTTTTTCGGTAAAGTCACGTAGGTAAAAAATTTAAATTAATAAAAGTAAAATAAAAAAAAAATTAAAAATAAAAAGAGGCAACGAACAGGTTTGGGTGGTTTCACGGTGATGGGCGAGCGGAGGTAAAGATGCAATTTTATTTCATGGAACTTGTATTTCCGTTTAAGAAACGTTTGGAGAACTATGACACATGGACCACGTGGGTTGGAAAACGTGAAAGTTGTACCTGCATCAAACTCCCAACGCCAGTCGATACCGTCACTGTACTGGGAATTTATTTAAAGATTGTCCGAGGTAGCAGTGGTCGTAATAGTGACAATAACAGTGAAATGTTATTATTCTTTGTTTTTTTCGGTAAAGTCACATAGGTAAAAAATTAAAATAAATTAAATCACGACGTTTTGGGCGCACCACAAGCGTCCTTCTTCAGGTGGGGACAACTTAGCGACGCTTAAGTGTGTCTCAGAGGTGGCTGTGACGAGTAATTATATAGTCATGGGGGGAGGGGGCATGGTGAGTGTGGGGGCGGGTGGTGTGGACTGGGAGGTAGCGTTGTGTACCCCGAGCAACGATTGGAGTTCAAACTGAGGCTTTGTAATGTAGATGGTGGAAGTAGATAAGCCGCCTTTTGTTATGCTGCCGGGTAAATTAGTAACGCATAGAGTTCAAAACAACGTGTGGTAATGTGGGGTAACAGACTGGGAGTATGGATATGTTTATAAAATTTAATCTAAACTAGATGTCTAGCAGTAAACTGCACGGCAGCTAAACTTCAAATCTAGAGTGAAATGTTGATTCTGCAAACCTATAAATGTTGTGGCTTTGCTCTGCAACACATCGGTGTGCTGTCCTCGTAACGAATTGGCATGTTCAGTTTACTTGGCAAACCTTACTCATTGGCTGTGTCGGGTGGTGGCGGCGGGTTTACGGACACATTTATATATTTACGCGATCTAACCCAAAAAACACCTGTATTTATGGCTGCCAATTCTTCCCTGCAGAAAAATACCGGCAAGGATCGCAGCAGATGTGGCAGACTCCTTCGCGCTCGAACAGCACCACCAGCCCCTACTGCGTCGAGATGAGTGAGTCGCGCGGAGTCGGTGTGCGTCCCGCACTTCCGGTTAGAGTGGTTGGCTACGTACGGTGCGAAAGAAGTTCAACATACATAAGACCAGCCGCCAAGACCACGTTCTCAATCTGCCGCGCGTGGCAACACGACTTCCCCGGGCTTGCCACCCTTTAACCGTGGGCCGTGGTCTTCTGGGACGGCCAAATCCCCCTTCCCTTCCCCCTCCCCTCTGTGTGTTGTACCGCACCAGGTCACCTGGTCCATTTGCAGCAGGCGAACGGATCGTGGGAGAGTTTGGAGCAACTGGCGGTCGCGCTCCAGATCCCGATCAAAACCCTTCAGAGTGAGGCTCCGCAGGTGAGGGCCTCAGGCGGTTTCGTTCGTCCCCCCGCCCACTGGGAGAACGGGCAGCGTCGCGAGCAAAGCCCCCGCACGCCCAAAGAGCTGGAGAAGCATAAAGCTTGAGAAGTGATTGATTGCAGCCGGGGCAATTGGCTGAAACAAAAATAGCGGGCGGGGGGGGGGGGGGGAGGCCGGGGGGGGCGGGTTAAATGTCTCGACCTGCGTTCCCGTGTCTGCCGCTGGATGGGGGGTGATGGACGGGGCTTTGTGGCGTCATCGGTGATATGAGCTGCGTCACACTAGGTATGGCTCGTCGTCCCCAACGCAGCAGGGGGTAGGGGTCGTCCCCAACGGAACAGGGGGTAGGGGCGGCCCTTACACAGAAGGGGGTAGTGTCTTCTTGGTTCTTTCGGTAAAGTCACGTAGAAGGGAAATAATAAAATAATAAAAATAAAACATAATAAAATTATTCTCACGACGTTTCGGCCACAACGCAAGCAGCCATCCTCAGGTGAAGAACAGGTCTGTCGGAAAGACTTTAAATCGACATTTAAGGGGGTAGTGGTCAGCCCCAACGCAACAGGGGGTAGGAGTCGGCCCCAATGCAGCAGGGGGTAGGATCGTTCCCAACACAGCAGGTGGTGGTAGGAGCTTGCCCCAACGCAGCTTTATAGCTCATCGTATTTCTCCAGTAAAATTAAATATTCTGATTCGGCCCACGCCCGGGTGGTGTTGTGCGTGAGCAGGACATGGCGAGCGAGGTGTGGGCCACGGTGCTGGCGCTGGTGTGGCTGCAGTACCGCGCTGCCGAGCAAAAGCTGGAGTGGGATCTGCTCTCCAGGAAGGCTTCGCTGTGGCTCGGCCTGCAAGGTAATCAATTCTAGATTTGAAGTTTTCGTGAGTGCAAAGATCCACGTATCACAAGATGCTTATCTATCGGCTTTATTCAGCCAATCCCCTACCCTGCCCAACTCCCCCCCCCCCACGATGCCACGTGCTCTCTCTCCCTCCTCGGCCACTTGGCTGCTCCCCCCTCGAGTATCCCATATAAACATGCGTCTCAGAAATAGCTCTCTTCATACGCAGCAGTCGTTTTGGTGGAGCGGCTACCTGATGGCGGAGGCTCGTGTTGCCTTCGAAACGTCGTGATTTGTTTTAATTTAGTTGTTTTCATTGTAATTTATTTAGTTTTTTACCTACGTGACTTTACCGAAAAGAACACAGAGCAAGGTAATTGTGAATCGGTGGTGAGGGGCGGCGTCCGTGTGGTGCGCGCGCACGCAAACCGTTGAGGCTCGCTCTGGAATGATCACCCTCGCTCAGAGGTCGCAAACGGGTTTTGATTCCTTACCCGTACCCGTACCCGGCCGCACCATGGTCGCAAACGGGTACCCGTACCCGTACCCGGCCGGGTACGGGTAGCCGGGTATCGGGTAGGGTACGGGTATCGGGTACCCGGTTGCGACCTCTGCCCTCGCTCCACGTTGGCCACATTTAAGTCGCTTCCTCGACTAAACTACAGCAATCTCTGGATTTTCCGCGTGTGGTTCATCCGATTTTGCGCATTGATCGCGTACCTGAGATTTTGACGTAAATTAACAACTCGTGGATTTTCCCTTAAGCCCAAATTAAGAATCTGTAAGTAGTTATACGACATTGTTATTGTTGGAAATGTGTATTACAAGGCACGTGTTTTAAACCAAACAAAAATATGTTAGCTCCGGTTAATCCGAAATCCACGTGATCGCCTCTACAGTACAGTGGTTGCCAGATCTTTACAACAGTGGGCGGAGTTTGATTGACGTTGATCGGCGTGGCTCTGCTATCATCCACTTAGTGGGCCCAGTCTTCTGTACGGGAGCAGGAAAGTGTTATCACGGAGCAACTCCAATTTCTTAACTTAAACAACACATTGTCCTGCGGAGGGAGCTGGTAGGAACGTTGGGTTGCTCGGTCAATGGCCAGGGTCAACGGCGGCGTGGTGTATTCCGTAAATGTGCCCGATTTTGGGCATCGGCTCCAGTTGAGAAACAACGGCGGGGCAACTGCTGACGATGGCCACCGATTTGATTTTTTTTGTTGTTTCAGGAATCGACATCGCCGCCGCAGTCGAGGCCGCCAACAAGGCCCTCGGCTCGTCCGTCAAGCCCTCGGACATTTGCGTGGCGAGAAACTCGTCGATGCAGTGAGGAGATCCTCTGAGGCTTTTTCAGTAAAGTCACATAGGTAAAAAATTAATTTAATAGAAGTAATAATAGAAATAAAATAATAAATCACGACGTTTCGGAGGCAACACAAGCTTCCGTCTTCAGGTGGAACCGTGAAACCTGAAGACGGAAGCTTGTGTTGCCTCCGAAATGTCGTGATTTATTATTTTATTTCTATTATTACTTCTATAAATTTATTTTTTTATTTTTACCTACGTGACTTTACCGAAAAAGCCCAAGAGTATGATCCTTGCAGTCACGAAAGCTTCACATTTAGAATCACTGAGGAGATCTCGGCTCGCAAATGACTTGGCCAACATTCGCAGTTCGCGTGGGCACAACGCCAGTGTACTGTAAGATCTAGTTGTCATGCTCTGCTGTGTTTTTTGCCATGGTACCAAATGTTTTGTTTATTTTTAAGCAACGCATACGATGTGTGTTGTGGGATGGTTGGTGAGGGGTGGGGGGGGGTGTTGGGCGGGTGTGGGGGGGGGAGGTGTTGAGACCCCTGTAAACTGGAAATGGCACTCTCAGCGCTGAGAAATGTCATGGCGGGAAGACTCGAGACAACGTTTATGGGACGTCCCCACGCTGACAATGAGGCGCTTCGTTGAGCTCTCGTTTGTGATCGGGGTTGCACGTCAACCCCCTCCGTCCGGGATTCGATTAAACTGAGAAGCACTTTTTCTATCCCACCCCTACCCCACCCCACCCCTCCCTCGCCATGAGAATATGGAATTTCCCCCAATTGGCTGAGCAGCGAGGTTTGTAAAGTTTAAAGGGGAGCACGACCTCGATTGGAAAACTAATTTCTTCAGAACTGCTTCTTGTGTTTAGGTTGTTGACGTCTCCCCCGCACCTCCGATTTTAGCACGGTTGTCTCCGTACGACGTAAAATTATTTAGACATCGTACATAGTCCCAGTTGAGTCGAATGCTGTGCAGTCACTCCTGTAGCATTCCATTGTGCATTCCCCCCCTCTGAATCGGATTGTGATTTTAGGGTGTGTATTTTTTTTTTAACATTGCTTCTTGTAACAAATACAATATAAAAAACACAAAAAAATTACATTATAAGCTGTAAGTGATCTCAAGTTAATGTCACGGAAGGCCAAATTTAAGCCATCGGAGGGAGGGGAGGGGGAGGGAGGAGATGGAGGGGATTACGTGGGGCGCCCTACCCCTGAATTAGCCCATAAATCTGTGGGCACGCCGTTCGTAACATTTTTACCTCTTCAGTAAGTGGTTATAAAAAAACAAAAACTTTTCTTGTTACATTTCAAAGTGATCCCCTGCACAGTGAGGAATTTCACTACAGGTTCACTGCTGCTGTAGTTGATCGATGTTGCTAGTTTTAACTCCTGTGCATCGGATGGGGCCCGTATTGGCATCTCGGCAAGTGTTGCTCGACCATCCGATGTTTATCTTCTTGGTTCTTTCGGTAAAGTCACGTAGAAGGGAAATAATAAAATAATAAAACATAATTTAATAATTCTCACGACGTTTCGGTCACAACGCAAGCAGCCGTCCTTGCGTTGTGGCCGAAACGTCGTGAGAATTATTTAATGTTTTATTTTTATTATTTTATTATTTCCCTTCTACGTGACTTTACCGAAAGAACCAAGAAGATTAATCCCTGCAGTCACAAAAGCTTTAAATCGAAATTTATCCGATGTTCAGTTTTTCGATTTCAAGCTTTCCCGACTGCAGGGATTTATCTTCTTGGTTCTTTCGGTAAAGTCACGTAGAAGGGAAATAATAAAGTAATACAAATATAAAACAAACAAAAAATTCTCACGACGTTTCGACTGCAACACAAGCAATCATCATCAGGTGTGAAATCCACAGCAAGAAAATTTTAAATAAGTGGCGGTTTTTCCTAACGTCAGCACCACAGACAGCGATTTGGCAGTTGGCCAGATGGACGAATCCATCTATTGTTTAATATTTGTATTATTTGATCATTTCCCTTCTACGTGACTTTACCGAAAGAACCAAGAATATGAATCCGATGTTCAGTTGAAATTTACCGATGGCACCTTGCTCAACGATATTAGCCCGGTTTGGCTACGTACGGCGCGAAAGAAGTTCTAATGTACGTACGTGTGAAATACAGAAGTTACCATTTAAAATAATTGCGTTTTAGTTTGCTGCGTCAGAATGTGAATCTGGTCCTGCGAGTTTATGGCTCCGTTTGTTTCTTCTATAATTGCATTTCATTAAACTCATCTGCAGCAAATGGGTTCTTTTTCCCCGTCTTCATTCAGTTGCGCGTTTCCTCGCCTACTCTGTGTTAGATCACGGGACCTTTTTGCCACCAGCAAAGTATGAAAAATAACAACTGGTTTGACCTTTTATGCCAATAAAACAGGAGTGTTAAGATGAAACATAATAAAAAAATTCTCACGACGTTTCGGCCACAACGCAAGCAGCTGTCCTCAGGTGAAGAACAGGTCTGTCGGGAAGACAGCGTCTGAATGCGCTGTCTTTCCGACAGAACTGTTCTTCACCTTAGGACGGCTGCTTGCGTTGTGGCCGAAACGTCGTGAGAATTGTATTTTATTATGTTTTATTTTTATTATTTTATTATTTCCCTTCTACGTGACTTTACCGAAAGAACCAAGGAGATGAATCCGTGCAGTCACGAAAGCTTTAAATCGAAATATAGTGTTAAGATGCTCAAACGTTACGCTCTCAGCCAATCAAACCTTCCTCACCCGCTGCTGCTAACGTCGATTTCGATTCGCCGAGCGAGGGAGAACATCGCGAGCATCTGGATTGAGTCTTGGGCTCGCTCCACCTTAAACCCTTTTTTGCAAGGAATCAAGTCTGCATTAACCACTCCTGGTAAAACATGCAATTGCATTTGCACTGTTCACTTGAAGGCGTTCCCTGGTCTCACACTGGTGAGACGAGGCTATCAAGAAGGCTGCTGTCGCCGGTGTAGGCCAATCCGTTTCAAAGGCAATGCATATGAAGAGGAGTCGGAGAATCATTCAATCACTTCTTTATTTCTCCAACGCACAGCAACGCTCGTTCCAAAACCAACCCCACTACGCGTCCCACAGCCCCTTTTTAAATCCTTTATATTAAGTTCGCTTGCTTGCGCGCTTACGACCGTGCAAATCTTTCGGTCGTTTTTTATTTAAATCCTTTATATTAAGTTTGCTTGCTTGCTTGCGCGCTTACGACCGTGCAAATCTTTCGGTCGTTTTTTAACCCACTTCCCGTGATCCAATCGAGCTGACATTTTTTTTAGGACAAAAATTATATTTAATTACCAATTGCTTAATGGTGGCAGACAATCATCTGACCCATAGGTGGCAGCCATCTCAAACCAGAGGACGAGAGGACTCTAGCCGCCACGCATATAAAGGATTTATAGTGAAAAACTTTGTTTTTACGGGTTATACTTTTTAACCTCTCCATCTCCGCCCTCGCTCCCAATTCCTGTTCATGTCTGGCACGCCTCTGGACCCGGTGACGTTCACTGCCCTTTAACCCCTGACCCCCATCCAGCGTATTGCCGCGCGTGTGATTTGGTGCATGTTGTCGTGAAAGCGGAGATGTCGCAGATCCCTTACACGTGCATTATCAGAGCATGTTTGTTTACATGTTCAACACAAGTGCCGTGAGTGGTTAATGCAGACTTGATTCCTTGCGCAAAGGTATTTAACTGGTGTTTGAACATCTGAACACCTCCTGTTATATCTTGACTTAAAGATTTCTTGACTGCAGGCATTCATATTCTTGGGTCTTTCGGTAAAGAATATGAATCCCTGCAGTCACGAAAGCTTTGAGTGAAGATTTAACCGCCTCGACGGGGAGGCTTTCCACGCAACTATTAGATCTTTTAACAAATCTTCGAGACAATAATGATCACCCGATCGAGTCGCTCACATTTCGGTAGAGATGTCGCGACACCAAGGTAATGCCCGATCGCCTTTACGCTCACATCTGCTGCTGTCACTTCTCCCAATGCTCAACGGATTTTGTTCAAGGGCTGGCCAAGCCCTGATCTCGGAGAGAATAAGATTGCTCCTTGAACCTTTATACGTGACTTTACCGAAAGACCCAAGAATATGACCTCCGGTTAAATTGTCAGATTCTTGTATTGTTAGTTTCTTGGAATTTGTACATATCGGTAAAAAAATTAGGAACATGTTTAAGTTCGTACATTTGGGTCATCTTTCAGCGTGGACAAGTCATCATAGCCGTCAACCCACACGGTTTACCCCGTATTCTTGTACAGGGAAATTGAGAGTTTAGGTCCATACGGCGTACAGCCGTTTCAATACGGGCAAAAAAAAATTAACCCGTAAAAACAAAGTTTTTCACTCTAAATCCTTTATATGCGTGGCGGCTAGAGTCCTCTCGTCCTCTGGCTTGAGATGGCTGCCACCTATGGGTCAGATGATTGTCTGCCAGCATTAAGCAATTGGTAATTAAATATTAAAAAATGTTTCCCTAAACAGTGTAAAATTTTGGAAAAAAAATTTCACGAAAATTAATTGTCACGCACAACGAGTCTGTGGAAAATGTCAGCTCGATTGGATCACGGGAAGTGGGTTAAACAAGTATAACCCGTAAAAACAAAGTTTTTCACTATAAATACTTTATATGCGTGGCGGCTAGAGTCCTCTCGTCCTCTGGCTTGAGATGGCTGCCACCTATGGGTTAGATGATTGTCTGCCAGTATTAAGCAATTGGTAATTAAATATTACATTTGTTTTCCCTAAACAGTGTAAAATTTTGGGAAAATTTTTTTACGAACATTAATTGTCTCGCACAACGAGTCTGTGTGTAAAATGTCAGCTCGATTGGATCACGGGAAGTGGGTTAAAAAACGACCGAAAGATTTGCACGGTCGTAAGCAAGCAAGCAAGCACGCAAACACGCAAGCAAGCAAGCAAGCGAACTTAATATAAAGGATTTAAAAATAGGGAACATGTTAAAGTTCGTACATTTGGGTCATTTTTCAGCATGGACAAGTCATCATAGCCGTCAACCCACACGGTTTACCCCGTATTCTTGTACAGGGAAATTGAGTTTTCTGGTCCATACGGCGTACAGACGTTTCAATACGGGCAAAAAGAAGTGTCGATTTGTTTGTGTTTCTCCCTTGTGATGGAACTTTGTAGGATGAACGTTGATATTTATAAGGGGGCACGGGGTGACCAATAAGGTCTGAATTGGTGTGTAATAAGGTAGGGCACTTGATGCAGCAAATCTGGCTGTGACGGTCCCACCTGATGACGGAGACTTGTGTTGCCTCCGAAACGTCGTGATTTATTATTTTATTTTTATTAATTTTAATTTCATTTTTTACCTACGTGACTTTATCGAAATAACTAAGAGTATGAATCCTTGCAGTCATGAAAGCTTCAAATCTAGAATACTGATAAGGGGTTATCAGGTATGAGCCACCTTGTGTATTTGTTTGAAAATAATATCGACTGCGTTCAATGAGATTTTACAACTACTCGCACATCCAGTGACACCGCCGATTTGACGTCTCCTCCCACATTCTGCGTCGTTTCGCAACGACGTCGCCGCTGTGTTGTGAACACCGCCGCTACCCCGTGAGCCGTCGTCTCAACCCCCACGCTCACGTCGCAGACAGCATCGTCCGTCCGTCCGTCCTCGTCCGTCGTCTCTCAAGCCTTCGCCTCCACCAGCACCACCCACCACCAGCACCACTACCAGCCACCCAGCACCCACCCACTACCAGCCACCCAGCACCCACCCACCAGCACCCACTACCAGCCACCCAGCACCCACCCACCAGCACCCACTACCAGCCTGCACCACTCACCACCCACCCAGCACCGTCCCAGCACCAGCACCACCCACCAGCACCTCTCACCACCCACCCACTACCACCCAGCACCACTCCCCACCATCACCACCCACCAGCACCACTCCCCACCAGCACCCACCAGCACCAACCAGCACCACCACCCACCAGCACCACTCACCAGCCACCAGCACCACCCACCAGCACCCACTACCAGCCAACACCCACCCACCACCAGCACCACTCACCACCAGCACCCACCCACCCACCAGCAGCATCACCCACCAGCAGCACCACCCACCACTACCCTGTAAACCGCGTTGACGTTTCGATATTCTTCGTCGCACCTCCTCCCCCCGTCCCCATGTAACCCCGGGGTGGGGGGGGTATGACTTGTACACGTGCTCGATTCCACAGCGGCACACTTGGGCGTCAACGTAGCGAATTAAAGGTATCTAAAAACACACAACCGTGTAGTGACTTTTACTGTTCAATATTTGAGCAGACGGTGGTTCCGCACGGTGGCTTTTAAATGGTTTTTCGTAGGTGCGGTTGAGGTGTCGGCGTGTCATTATCCTGACGTCAAGCAACGGCCGACGTTAGAATGGTTATTTATCTGCGTTGCAACATCACGGTAAGGTCACCCGTCCGACCAAAACGCGACCATTCGGGCAGCCGCCTCGCTGTGCAGGCTTTCCCCAGGGTGCTGGTGGCCGTGTCGGAGCCAAGGTCGACATTAATTCTAGATTTGAAGCTTTCGCGACTGCAAGGATTCATACTCTTAGGTTTTTTCGGCAAAGTCACGTTGGTAAAAAATAAAATTAAAAGTTAATCAAGGTGGACACCCCAAGAAATCGTTTTGCTTCACGTCACCGGCAGAAAGGAAAAAAAAAATTTCGTCTCCACCAGAGGGATCACATCCCGAGATGTATCCGGCCGCCACTCCAACCTTACCGGCCGACTGTCTCGGAAGAGGTCCGAGTGTGCACCCACGCTTGTTGTGCTCCACAACGGGGTCTGGAGATGGGGTACAGCGTGCACTGCCGTCCCGACTGCTGCTCCACGAGAGGGAGGCTTCCCCTGATACCGGGCGTCGTGCACCCCGAGGCCCGTCACGTGGGTGAAGAGGACCTGCAGCTACACACTATTAACATTCCTTCCCTTTTCGATTTAAAGCTTTCGTGGCTGCAGGGATTCATCTTCTTGGTTCTTTCGGTAAAGTCACGTAGAAGGGAAGTAATAAAATAATAAAACATAATAAAATAATTCTCACGACGTTTCGGCTACAACGCAAGCACCTGAAGACGGCTGCTTGCGTTGTAGCCGAAACGTCGTGAGAATTATATTATTATGTTTTATTTTTATTATTTTATTACTTCCCTTCTACGTGACTTTACCGAAAGAACCAAGAAGATGAATCCCTGCAGTCACGAAAGCTTTAAATCGAAATTTTTAGTTTTATTTCTACCCGACGTGACTTTACCGAAAGAACCAAAGAGTGTGGAGATTCGGACTGGAGGGCATCGTCGGCTAAGATCACGCACGGAGCTCCTGGAGCTCTTCGCTGAGAGTGACCCCGAACTGGGAGTACAGCAGCAGCAGCAGCTCCTTCAACCCCCTCTCCCGCCGCTGCCGTGTAGAGGTAGAAAGCACTCGTGGGTACGGTACACAACGTTTACTGTTGTAAATAATGATGTTTATTTACTAAAAATAATGTTTACCATCCGTTGTTATTATAAGCGCTATTACCGACACCCCAATGAAGCCATCGCGTGTTGCTCGTGCGAAGGAGCGCTCTCGGGAACGCAACCCTATGAAAGCAATGGTATAACGACCCCCGTTTAGCGCCGTTTCGATTAGCGCTGCTCGCTTCCCCAGCAACGCATCTTGAGAGCGCTGCAGCGAGGTCTTCCTGTGATGATTTCAACTCGTAGCGTGCAAGTCACTCGCTCTCGTAAAAGACGACTCTGAGAGCGAGAGAGGACGACTCTGAGAGAAAGACAGGACGACTCGGGGAGATAGAGGACGACTCAAGAGAGAGAGAGAGGACGACTCGAGAGAGAGGACGACTCAGGGAGAGAGGATAACTCGGAGAGAGGATGACTAAGAGGACGACTCAGAGGATGACTCAGAGAGGACGACAGAGAGAGAGGACGACTCGAGAGAGGACGACTCAGGGAGAGAGGACGACTCGAGAGAGAGGATGACTCAGAGGATGACTCAGAGGATGACTCAGAGGATGACTCAGAGAGGACGACAGAGAGAGAGGACGACTCGAGAGAGAGGACGACTCAGGGAGATAGGACGACTCGAGAGAGAGGATGACTCGGAGGATGACTCAGAGGATGACTCAGACAGGACGACAGAAAGAGAGGACGACTCGAGAGAGAGGATAACTCAGAGAGAGGATGACTCAGAGAGGACGACAGAGAGAAAGAGAGAGGATGACTCGGTGGGGGGGGGGAGGAGGAGAATGGATGACTCGGAGGCACCAGGAGGAGGAACCACAGGTGATTGGGAAGGTAGCAGCAGCAGCACGGGGTGACGAGGAGCCGTGCCCGCGTCCACCACCACCACCGAGTCACCCCGCGCCCCTAACGGCCGCGTCTGCGGCTTCTGCAGCCTGGCGGCCCGGCGGGTGGGAGAGTGGCTCGCAACAATCGGAAAGCCTGGAAGTTCAAATCCTCATTGGAGGTTGACTCGGCCCATCATCATCCCAGCATAGTCGATAAAGTAGATAGCGCAGAGTTGGGAAAGTCAGTAGCAGCTTGTCCTCTGGTTAGATTCATCCGCCGCGCCTCCGATTGGCAAGGTTGGCTACGTACGGTGCGAAATAAGTTCAACGTACAACCGGACATCCCCGCCACAGCAATGTGGAACTTCCCTCGCTTATGCTAGCTCCGCAGGGCCGTGACATGATGGGCACCGATGCTTCGGTGCCGCTCGTTCGAGCAGGAAATCGCCTCTTGTTTTTGTATCCACATTCGCCCCAGGCGATTGCGCCGGTCCACCGCCACCCCCCACCGCCGCCGACACTCAGGAGCAGGAGCAGCGCCCGCGCTGGCGCTTCCCCGCACCGTCCAGGTGAACCGTGCCACACGGATCGCGACGCCGCGGCACGAGCATCTCGAAGACGCCCTCGAACGCCTCGTCCACGCCGCGGCCGCTCTTGGCGCTCGCCACGAAGCAGGCCCGCTCCGCCGCCGGCATCGCCGGCCGCCGCGTCCCGGCGGCACCGGCGGCGCTCCCCGCCACGGTGTCGCGGTAGCGGAGGATGCGGCCGTAAAACTCGCGAGCGTCCTCCTCCGTCACTTCCCGTGGGCGCGATTCCGTCTCCTCCCCGTCCGCCGCCGGCGCCCCGAGGCGGCTCTCGTCGCTCCGGGGCGGCGGCGGCAGGAGGTCGGCCTTGTTGCCGACGAGAGCGAAGATGCAGTCGGCGTCGGCCGAGTCGGCCAGGCCCAGGAAACGCTCCTCGAGTGCGGCGAAGGTGGCGCGGCTCGTCACGTCGTACACCAGCAGCACGGCGCGCGCCCCGCGGCAGAACATGGAGCCCAGCCCGTGGAACCGCTCATTGCCTGCGGGGTCGGGGTGTCACGGTGGGGTCGGGGTGAGGTCGCGGTGGGGTCAGGGTGGGGTCGCAGTGGTGTCAGGGTAGGGTCACAGTGGGGTTATGGGGGGTCAGGGTGGGGTTACAGTGGGGTCAGGGTAGGGTTACAGTGGGGTTATGGGAGGTCAGGGTGGGGTTACAGTGGGGTTATGGGAGGTCAGGGTGGGGTTACAGTGGGGTTATGGGAGGTCAGGGTGGGGTTACAGTGGGGTTATGGGAGGTCAGGGTGGGGTTACAGTGGGGTTATGGGAGGTCAGGGTGGGTCACCATGGGGACAGGGTGGGGTCACCATGGGGTCAAGTTAGGGTCACATTGGGGTCAGGTTGGGGGCAGAACGGGGTTAGTGAGGGGTCACGGCAGGGTTCAATGTGGGGAGGAGGAAGAGGAGGTGCGGGTTCACCGAGGTTGTGGAGATAACGCTGCACAGGCCCCGGGCGTGTCCGAGCAGAACAGCGGGGAGACCAAAGTGCAGACAGGGAGGGAGTCGGGAACAAACTCCAAGCGAACGTTGCGCAACGGGCAGTTGTTGTTTCTTATCCAAACAAGCGCTGCACTGCACCAAGTCGACTCACCACGTGCTCGCTGGATCCCCCGGGTCACGTGGATGGGGCAGCCGAGTCAAACTGAAACGCGCCGATTCCTCTCTTTGGGCCAGGGCACAGAGCCTGCTGCTGGTGATGGTGGTGGGGATGATGGTGATGGTGGTGGTGATGGTGGTGATGGTGGTGATGGTGGTGGTGGTGATGGTGGTGCTGGTGGTGATGGTGGTGGTGATGGTGGTGATGGTGGTGGTGATGGTGGTGATGGTGGTGATGGTGGTGGTGATGGTGGTGATGGTGGTGATGGTGGTGGTGATGGTGGTGATGGTGGTGATGGTGGTGGTGGTGATGGTGGTGCTGGTGGTGATGGTGGTGGTGATGGTGGTGATGGTGGTGGTGATGGTGGTGATGGTGGAGGTGGTGGTGGTGATGGTGGTGGTGATGGAGGTGATGGTGGTGGTGATGGTGGTGATGGTGGAGGTGATGGTGGTGACGGTGGAGGTGATGATGGTGATGGTGGAGGTGATGGTGGTGATGGTAGAGGTGATGGTGGTGATGGTGGTGGTGATGGTGGTGATGGTGGAGGGGCGGTGTAGCGGTTAGCGCTACGCCGCGCTACGAACCCGGCGACCCGAGTTCGATTCCCGCCCACGGCCAACGACGTCGGTGACGATTATCTGAAACGGTCCTGGGCCCCTCCCCTAGGTCGACTCAGCCTCAATAATGAGTAGCCGGTGGCGATGTGTGTAAACATCGGCACCGGGGAGACAAAGGCGGCCCACCCCCCTCGTGTGCCGTGCCGGCCATCAATAGGTGCCACTCGCGAACAGCACTTGCCCCGACAGTCCGTTACAGGCTACACGGGGGATCTTTGTCTTTTGGTGGTGGAAGTGGGAGGAGTCTGTCCACCCTCGCCCGTGACCCCGTCATAAAAAAAAACGAGCAAACGAAATAAATGTTTTTTAGTTGTCACTGCATGCGTTTGGATGACCATTCTAGATTTGAAGCTTTCGTGACTGCAAGGATTCATATTCTTAGGTTTTTTCGGTAAAGTCACGTAGGTCAAAATTTTAAATTAAAAATAATAAAAGTAAAATAAAAAAATCAAGCAATCTTGCTGTGACGGTTCCACCTGAAGACGGAGGCTTGTTTTGCCTCCGAAACGTCGTGATTTTATTTTTTATTTTATTTTACTTTTATTATTTTTAATTTTAATTTTTTACCTACGTGACTTTACCGAAAAACCTAAGAATATGAATCCTTGCAGTCACGAATTATTTTTTATTTTTATTTTTTACCGACGTGACTTTACTGAAAAAAACCTAAGAATTTGGTTGACCAATTTACCTTTTTTCTTGTGCTTCGTACTACTATAGTACGTTAGTTATCGTTTGTTGTCGTAGCGTTCTTACCCGCCACCTGAACGGCCATCTGTGCAAAGGAGCTGGATAGTTAATCGGATTCCTGCGGTATAATAAAATGTTATGATTATGGTGAAAAAAAATATCTCATTCTGTGGCTAGAAGGTGGAGATTCCACATTCTCATGGTGGTGGACAGTCTCTCCGCAGGCTAGCCACTGTTGACTTCCCACAGGGGTCTGGACCCTGTAACCCTGGCAAGGAGGACGGATCGTCAACCGTTGCGCGGAATTGAAGGTTGCGCTGATCACAGAACTCTCAGTCGATTTAAATGAAACTAAACAACTTTTTTTTTAAATTTCATCAGGTGAAGGCCCACTGAGCTATACAGCTATTCTTCAGAAGCGACCTGGTCACCATGAATGATAGCTCGCCTAAGTGGCTTGTCAGCACGTGGAAATGTACACCAGCCAAACACTCTAAACACGTGACGTTGATTCTGGAATGTGAAGGGAAAAAAACCGTAAGGAACCCAGAGAAAAATCCACGCGGCCACGGGGAGAGAGAGAGAGACACGCAAAAAATACAGCAGGCATCGTCAGGGTCGGGATCGAACTCACGACCTCCTGTATACCAGGCGAGGTAGTTAACATCTCCTAGCCACCGTGATGACGATGAGAGAGAGACACACACAAAAACTCCAAATATACAGCAGCAGGCGTCAGGGTCGGGATCGAACTCACGACCTCCTGCATACCAGGCGAGGTAGTTAACATCTCATAGCCACCGTGATGATGATGAGAGAGACACACACAAAAACTCCAAATCTACAGCAGCAGGCGTCAGGGTCGGGATCGAACTCACGACCTCCTGCATACCAGGCGAGGTAGTTAACATCTCATAGCCACCGTGATGATGATGAGAGAGAGACACACACAAAAACTCCAAATCTACAGCAGCAGGCGTCAGGGTCGGGATCGAACTCACGACCTCCTGTATACCAGGCGAGGTAGTTAACATCTCATAGCCACCGTGATGATGATGAGAGAGAGACACACACAAAACTCCAAATCTACAGCAGCAGGCGTCAGGGTCGGGATCGAACTCACGACCTCCTGTATACCAGGCGAGGTAGTTCACATTTCACCATCCCCCCACCCAAGGGTGCCCCCCCTTGTCCCCCCATCCAGAGGTGCCCCCCCTTGTCCCCCCACCCAGGGATTCCCCCCCCCTTGTCCCCCCACCCAAGATGCCCCCCCGCCCCCCCAAGGTGACACGCACCTGCCGTGTCCCACAGGGCCACCGTGTGCCCGGCCCACTCCCGCATGACGAAGGCTCCCCCCACGGTGCTGATGGTGTCCTCGAAGCGTCGCTCCGTGTAGCGCCGCAGCAGCGACGTCTTGCCCACGCTCACCTCTCCCAGGAGGACCACCTTGAAGTCGGGCCGGGTGGACATCGCCCAAAGGACCCCGCGGCACCTGCGGGGGCGAGCGGCGGAGGATGACGGCGAAGGGGTCACGGCTTCGAACGGCCTGACCCAGCCTTGGCTTCGACCCCCTGACCCAGCCTCGACCCCCTGACCCAGCCTCGGCCTCGACCCCTGACCCAGCCTCGACCCCTGACCCAGCCTCAGCCTCGACCCCTGACCCAGCCTCAGCCTCGACCCCTGACCCAGCCTCGACCCCTGACCCAGCCTCGACCCCTGACCCAGCCTCAGCCTCGACCCCTGACCCAGCCTCGACCCCTGACCCAGCCTCGACCCCTGACCCAGCCTCGACCCCTGACCTAGCCTCAGCCTCGACCCCTGACCCAGCCTCGGCCTCGACCCCTGACCCAGCCTCGGCCTCGACCCCTGACCTAGCCTTGGCCTCGACCAGACTCGCGGCGAGGAGAGGACGAACTCACTACCCCGAGTCGTCGCCCCCCTACCCTCACCCACCTACCCTCACCCTCCTACCCTCACCCATCTACACTCACCCCCCTACCCTCACCCCCTACCCTCACCCCCTACCCTCACCCCCTACCCTCACCCCCCTACCCTCACCCCCTACCCTCACCCACCTACCCTCACCCCCTACCCTCACCCTCCTACCCCCACCCCCATACCCTCACCCCCCTACCCTCACCCCCTACCCTCACCCACCTACCCTCACCCACCTACCCTCACCCACCTACCCTCACCCCCTACCCTCACCCCCTACCCTCACCCCCTACCCTCACCCACCTACCCCACCCCCCTACCCTCACCCCCCTACCCTCACCCCCTACCCTCACCCACCTACCCTCACCCACCTACCCTCACCCACCTACCCTCACCCACCTACCCCACCCCCCTACCCTCACCCACCTACCCTCACCCCCCTACCCCCACCCACCTACCCCCACCCACCTACCCTCACCCCCCTACCCCCACCCACCTACCCTCACCCCCCTACCCTCACCCCCCTACCCTCACCCACCTACCCCCACCCACCTACCCTCACCCCCCTACCCTCACCCACCTACCCTCACCCCCCTACCCTCACCCCCCTACCCTCACCCACCTACCCCCACCCCCCTACCCTCACCCCCCTACCCTCACCCACCTACCCTCACCCCCCTACCCTCACCCACCTACCCTCACCCCCCTACCCTCACCCCCATACCCCCACCCACCTACCCCCACCCCCCTACCCTCACCCCCTACCCCCTACCCCCACCCCCCTACCCTCACCCCCCTACCCTCACCCCCCTACCCTCACCCACCTACCCCCACCCCCTACCCTCACCCCCTACCCCCACCCACCTACCCTCACCCCCCTACCCTCACCCCCATACCCCACCCACCTACCCCCACCCCCCTACCCTCACCCCCTACCCCCACCCCCCTACCCTCACCCCCCTACCCTCACCCCCTTACCCTCACCCACCTACCCTCACCCACCTACCCTCACCCCCCTACCCCCACCCCCCTTACCCTCACCCCCCTACCCCCACCCACCTACCCTCACCCACCTACCCTCACCCCATACCCTCACCCAGCGCCACTCACCGTATCCTCCTCCTGACCAGCACGCCGAGTCACGTGGGACAGCCACGCGCCTCTCGCGAGCGCCGCTCCCAACTCGGGCAGCAGCAGCAACAACAACAGCAGCCGCAGCAGCTCCAATCCCTTCAGAAGGGAGAGCTGCCCCTGCTGCCCTTCAGAAGGGAGAGCTGCCCCTGCTGCCCTTCAGCAGCGAGAGCTGCCCCTGCTGCCCTTCAGAAGCGAGAGCTGCCCCTGCTGCCCTTCAGAAGCGAGAGCTTCTCTACAGCCACCACCACCACTGTCGCCTCTTCCTCCTCCTCGGGGTCTCCTCTTCATCCACCACCACCACTGTCGCCTCCTATTCCTCCTCCTCCTCGGGGTCTCCTCTTCATCCACCACCACCACTGTCGCCTCCTATTCCTCCTCCTCCTCGGGGTCTCCTCTTCATCCACCACCACCACTGTCGCCTCCTCTTCCTCCTCCTCGGGGTCTCATCTACATCCACCACCACCAATGTCACCTCCTCTTCCTCCTCCTCGGGGTCTCCTCTACATCCACCACCACCACCACCACTGTCACCTCCTCTTCCTCCTCCTCGGGGTCTCCTCTTCATCCACCACCACCACCACCACTGTCACCTCCTCTTCCTCCTCCTCGGGGTCTCCTCTTCATCCACCACCACCACCACTGTCACCTCCTCTTCCTCCTCCTCGGGGTCTCCTCTTCATCCACCACCACCACTGTCACCTCCTCTTCCTCCTCCTCGGGGTCTCCTCTTCATCCACCACCACCACCACCGCTGTCACCTCCTCTTCCTCCTCCTCCTCGGGATCTCCTCTTCATCCACCACCACTGTCACCTCCTCTTCCTCCTCCTCCTCGGGGTCTCCTCTTCATCCACCACTACCACCACCACTGCTGTCGCCTCCTCTTCCTCTCCCTGGGGCCCCTGCCCGGGTCGTTCTGCGGTCTCCGCGGCCCCAAGGAGTTTGGTGGCAGCGGCGAGGG